ATAATGCTTTGAATATCAAATTCAAAGAAAAAGTTATTTGGCTATAGGATGAAGTATCCTATAAGTTTAAGGTAAAATCATTTCTTATATTTTTCTTGTAAATCTTATATTAAAATTTGATGTATGTGAGACTAACTATATCGAGTTTAACTTGAAAATAGAGTGAGGATAAACATTTTAAAGTATTGTGATAATGATTAAAAGTTGTTGTTAAGATTATTATATTAGGTTATAATTTGTTTTAATAAAAAACATCATACTATGGTTGTTTGATTAAAGCTGGACGTAGATTCACACGAGAATTGAACGAGTATAAGTTATTGAGTTCTTTTCTTCTTCTCCTTATCTTGATATTCTTGTTTTCTTAATACTTTTATAATTCTTTTATATTTGATTATTAAAAAAAGTTATTTAATAATTTATTAGAATTAAAAAGATTTTGCAAACCCAATTCAACCTCGTCTTGGGTATGTTCTCTTATTAACATTTTTATAATAATTGGTATTAGAGCTAGGTTATCAAAAGTTAATTGATTTTGATCCAAAGAATAATTAACATTTCTCAAACTTTTGCTTGAATGAACATCTATAAACAAACCTCCTTTATTTTTTGGAAAAAATTATCCATTTTGAAAAATAAGAATGAAGATTTTTCTTGAATGTGTTGATAAAGGTATTTGGGATTAGTCATTTTCAACCAACCAAGATTAAGGATGATAAAACAATTGTCAAAGATTTTATTGAATGGAATCCGATGAAAACAAAAAAGCTCACTATGATGTTAAAGATAAGAATATTATTTATTTTGCACTAACACTTAATTATAGAATCTCTATGTGTGAAACAGCTAAAGAAATGTGAAGAGTTCTTTAAGTTACTAATGAAGGAACTAAAGAGGTAAAGAGAGCAAGAAATAATATTCTTAGTATGAAATATTTAAAATGAAAACTGGAGATAACATCTATGATATTCACAAAATATTTACTCATATAGTAAATCATTTGATGACTCTTGGAAAGATCTTTGACAAAGAAGAATTGAATATCAAGATCTTAAAGAGTTTAGGAAGAAACTGACAACCTAAGATGACCACTATTTCAGAATCAAGGAATCTTACAATAATGAATATGACTACATTGTTTGGAAAACTAAAAGAACATGAGTTGGAACTTAAAAGACTCAAAGAAGAAGAAAAAAATAAAAAAGACACACTGTCGCATTAAAGACTACTACAAAGAAAAGTGATTTTGTGTAGGGAAATGAAGATGGAGATTTTGATAGTGAAAACTTGAATATGCTGGTAAAGAGGTTTTCTAAATTTTTGAAATACAAAAACAAATCTACTGTCAAACCATTCATGCAACAGGAACATGAGAATATCCCTAAATGTTATGAATGCGGGAAACCTAGACACATCAAGTAAGATGAAGCAGAAACTAGAAAAAAAAAAAAGGAAACCCAGAATTCAAAAAATAAGAAGACATACATGGCTTCAAAAAACAATATTTCAAGCACTTATAGTGAATAAAGTGAAAACACAAATGAAGAAACAAATCTTTGTTTAATGACACATACATAAACATCAAACAAATTTAGTGTAAGTACCACTGCATCTAATGATAAGAATAACTATTATCAATTGTTAGATGTGTTTTAATAAAATGCATGATGAAGTAAAAAAATTAGCATATTCTATAACATATTTAAAGGTGAAAATAAATGGTTGGAGAATATATTAAAACAGTTTGAGAATGAAAATGAAAATCTAAAAACAGAGTTAGAAACCTTAGAAAAAATAGTAAGAATTGTGTGCATAAATGTGTTAATGGTAAAAATCATTTAGAAATAATAAAGTATCTTATCAAAATACTTTCAAAATTTACATTAGGAAAATCAAACTTAGATGCTATATTGAATTCCCAATTATGCATTTTAAACAGAGAAGGAATTGACTATAATGCTAATTGATTAGATAAATCCAGAAATTTTCTGAATTTAAGTAAATCATCATCTGTAACATATTTTACTGTTTTGAGATTGAACATACATAAAAAACCTGCTATGGAGTGAGTAATTTTGTATAAAGCCAAATAATCTAATATTTGAAAGTAAAAATAATCAATTATGTTAAAATTAAAATTGTACTTAATCGATTATATGACTTAAAATCATGTTTTCATAACATGCGTTAATAATCGATGATGTGCTCACTTAATCGATTATTTGTCTAAATCTCTATTTTAATATAACGTGCTAATAATCGATTATGTTGATATTTAATCGATTGTATGACTTATTTTCATACTATCACTGCATGTAAATAATCTATCAGATATCTTGCTAATCGATTATCTATGACAGTTATAACAATTTTTGTTTCCATAAAAAAAATGTAAACTTTCTTCAATCAAATATATTTTTAAAAAAAGTAAAAAAAAAAAGTGGTGATTTTGTAAAATGCTTTGAAAATCAAATTCTAAGAAAATGTTATTTTAGTGTAAGATGCAATGTTTTAAGAATTCAAGGTGAAATAAGTTCTTATTTTTTTCTTATGAATTTTGTATTGAATTTTGATATATGTGAGATTAATTACATAATAACAAAGATTTTTTTTTAAGTATTCTAATCTTAATTAAAAATTATAGTTATTCAAGATTATTAGATTCGGTTATAATCTATTTTAATAAACACTCAAGATTTATAAATTCAAAAAAATTGAATCACTTAATATCTTTTCTTTATTTTGATATTTTTGTTTTCTTAATACTATTATAATTATTATATATTTGATTATTAAAAAAATTCTTTAATAATTTATTAAAATTGAAAAGATTTTACAAACCTAATTCAGTTATTCGTTCTATCATTAGAATTTTTATAACATTAATAACATATTAACTCAAATATCATAATTCAATTATGATAATACACTTCTCTTTATTCACATGAAAATAATTTATGATTCAATAATTATTCAATTGGAATCAAACTCATTATCTTTAATATCACTTATTGAATATTTTAATTTAACGTTATGAAATACCAAATAAAATTTAAATTACTTTATATCAAATTACAAAGAATAAGGAAAAAGGAATATTCATATTAATAGTATACAAACAGCATATAAAGTTTCTATGATTTTTTTTCTAAATCGTCCTAATTTTACTGGGCCTTTGTTTTTATCTCAACTTATTAAATTAATCTGATTTCAACTTATTAAATTCATATAAATTTATTCCCAATGATAATTTAATATATTAATTTAGATAATTTATATAAAATCGATTTCATTATAAATAACTAATATACATATTAATATAATATACTATACGTAAAGTAATTGTTAGAAATTATAAAATTTGTGACAATACATACTTAAATATTCGTATCTCATTAAACATAGTGAAAAAGATAACCACCATATTAAAAGCAATAGTTACAATATATTTATATTTGAAGAAAAAATAATGTTATGACATTAAATAATATTATTTTATTATACAAAACTGTAAATTAATAAATTGAGAATGACATGTAAATAGTCAAATAAATTATAAAATATGAATAGTTTTGATTTAAATACTTTGAATAATTTAAGGTTTTGAAAAATATTAATTTATCATCATTATTTTCACTCAAAATATTATTTTATATTTTTGAAATAGAACATATTTTAGATATTTATCAATAGAATGCTTATAATAATATACAAAAAGGATTATTTTTTAAAATCACATAATTTGATATATTATTTATTTTATATTTTTCCTTTGTTCTATTTTCTTTTTTTTTCTCTAATATATATTAAAAATAAAAAATAATTAAAATTTATCATTTCTTTGTTATTTTCTTGATCACGTTAAAATATTTCCACATCTATTTATTTCAAACAATACATAATTAATAAATATTTATATTTTAAAACTAATATATATAGATTAAATTTTAATTTATTAAACTAAAAAAAATAATAATATGTCCATATGTATTTTCATGAATATTGATAATGTTTATCAAAAACATAAATGGTTGAAATAATGGCTAATTGGTTTAATTAATTTTTTTTATCTTTTATATTATTAATTTTTAAATAAAAAACTTAACAATTACTTTAATTTATTCATTAATAAATTCTTTTAATAATTTTTTTCCTCCTTTATTATCTTTATAATTTTTTTAATGATTTACTCTAATTTTAATTTAAAAAGATTAAAAAATTATCATACGATTACAATGAAAAATTTTAATTGAGAAAAAATTATTTATATTATCAAATATATAATAATTTATCTGTAATTAGAGTATTTAATTTTATATTATCTTTTATCTTTTAAAGACAAGGAAAATATTAGATTTTAGTACTGGCAACAAACAAAAAAGGAAAATTAATATTAAAAATTAGGATTAATTAGTTTAATCGAGGGTGTGGATAATTGTGAAAAAATATATAGTTTTACGCGTGAAATCTGGCGAATGATTGATAGGATCGCCGCCTCTTATCTTTTTTTATTTAAGTCGGGAAAAGCCCAAACGATTCTCACAACAAACGCGTCAACCAAGGCGGCTTCTCTCGTCTCTGTTTTCTGCTTCAGCTTTTCTCCTTTCGCTTGCTTTTCGTGTCGCCGGTAAGGCAATTCGTTACCTCTGAACCCTAACGAGACGCAGCCACCGTTTAGGGTTTCGATCCTCCTCTCATTCTTCGTTGTTTCATTGCTTTCGTGTGGTTTCATTTCCCTCTTTCGTTTCAATTCTGTTGATTCTATCGAGGAAGCGCTTGAGAAAATTTTAATTGATTTTTGTCGTGTGCTTTGTGATTGATTAGGTTTCTTGAATCATTGAAAAAAAGAAAAGAAAAGAATTGAATAATACCGTTCTGTCATTTTTGGGGAGGGTTAGGGTTTCGAAAATTTGGGATTATTCAGGGTTTCGGTTTGACATACATTTTACTTCGATTCTTAATTGTTTATTGAGAGGACTTGTGCTTGTGCTTGTCAATCAATGGCGGCAGGGCGAAAAAGTGTTTCTCTGAGAAGAGACTTTTGCAAATACAGTTCCACCAAGGGGTCTGATCACTATAAGAATGGCTCTTTCGGCGTGGAAGTGGGTGGATCTCTCAGCCATCACTTTGCTCGTTCCGATGGGCTTCGTGGTGGAAAAGAAGAGAGAGAACAAGGTGAGATCTGTGTTGAAGATGGGGAATATGAGGGTGCATATGGTTTGCCACCGCCACAGAAGAAAAGGAAGTTTTCTCCAATCGTGTGGGACCTAGTAGAGAAGGAAGAAAGAATCTCGTCAAAGAGTAGGATCTCGAAGAATGATGCTTTCTCTCCTCCTCGTCCTTGTATTCCGAGCAGTCCTGGAGCCAATGGTGTTGATTCAGGGGACGTAATGGAGGAATCTTTGCTGGATTCCGGAAGCAATAGACAAATTGTGGAGGAAGAGAATCATGTCCATGAGTGGACTATCACAAAGTCAAGATGGGCTTGTGATGATGGTCCCTCACCGAGGGCAGCTGATGATAAATTCAACCATGGAAAAGTGAGTTCCAGTCCTGAAATTGGTGAATTCCATGGCAGTGGATCGTCAGAGAGCACGGTCACTAGATCATCAGGAAGCGCGGGAAGAGATCATTTTGTGGGTCTATCTATTGATGATGCCGATTCTGAAAAGGATTTTCATATGGGCTCCATGGTCGATGTTGACGAACATACTGATGTTGGTGATTCTCTATCGGATTCTGAAGAGAGTGGTGGATTGATGCATGTGCACAGAAATATAAACATGCTTCAAAGTTGCAGAAATGTGGGCGAGTTTGAAATGATTAAGAAAATAAATGAAGGAACTTATGGTGTTGTCTATAAAGCTAGGGATAAGAAAACTGGAGAATTAGTAGCATTGAAGAAGGTGAAGATGAACATAGAGAGGGATGGGTTTCCGATGTCATCCTTGAGGGAAATAAACATTCTCTTGTCTTTGAACCATCCCTCTATTGTGAATGTTAAGGAAGTACTTGTAGATGATTTTGACGGTACTTTTATGGTAATGGAATACATGGAGTATGACCTTAAGGGAATGATGGAGGTTAAGAAACAGCCTTTTAGCATTAGTGAAATTAAATCCTTCATAAAGCAACTTCTTGAAGGTGTTAAGTATCTCCATGATAACTGGGTTATCCACAGGGACTTGAAGTCATCAAATATTCTGCTGAACCATGATGGGGAACTTAAAATATGCGACTTTGGGTTGGCAAGGCAGTATGGAAGCCCACGGAAGCCGTATACTCCTGTTGTGGTTACACTATGGTACAGGTGAGTAGCATTATATTATTAGTTTAGTTTTTATTGAAGTTATCTCCGTAGATGTATAAGAATTTTCATTTATATTGGTAGAGAATTATATGTCGCAAACTCATGAAGGTGTATTTGTTTGTGCAGAGCACCTGAACTTTTGTTGGGAGCTAAAGAATACTCAACAGCAATTGACATGTGGTCAGTGGGTTGCATAATGGCTGAATTAATTGCCAAGGAGCCTCTGTTCAGGGGTAAAAGTGAACTTGAGCAACTTGATCAGGTTATCATTAAAATCACTTGAATATTACTTTTTTCTTCACCTCATCTATCATATGTGTGAATTCTGCTGCCTTGTAACACTTATTTCTTTGTGAACTGTCTACAGATTTTTCGAACCTTGGGTACACCTGACGAGAAAATTTGGCCTGGATTATCCAAATTACCTGGAGCTAAAGCAAAATTTGTCAAGCAACCGTAAGAATGCATTCTCTCATTATGACTTATGGGTGTAATGCTTTGTCAATTCTTTGACCATAAGTTGTTGATATTTCAGGTTTAATATGCTAAGGAAGAAGTTTCCAGCTGCGTCGTTTACTGGTTTGCCAGTTTTATCTGAGCTGGGATTTGACTTGTTGAAGAATCTTCTAACTTATGACCCCGAAGAGGTATATATTGTTCATTGAATATTTTCTATTGGTTTTCTGTGACATGAAGATGAATAAAACATAACGTATACAAATTGTTTTACTTCTTTCAGAGGATAACTGCAGAAGATGCTCTCCTTCATGATTGGTTCTATGAAGCCCCTCTTCCCAAATCTGATTGCAAGCCTATTTTTCCTTCTTGGAGGTGCTAGGACAGGTACTCTCGCTGAATGCATGAAATACCAAGAACAATGCTATTTTTACTGTCATTGTTTCCAACATGTTTACCCAGATAATGATCATATACAAAGAATGATATATTGCAAGGAACAGCATAATGGACTTCATAAGGCACATGTTTGCTATATAAATTAGTAGCGGCGGATTGATGTATATACCTGAGAGTATGGCTTAGCGCTTTTTTTTCAGTTTATTAAAACACAATGTATCCCTCTTGCTGGTGAAAATGATGTACATGTATTTCAGGATCCAGGACATTTAGTAATTAATGATGAATTTTGCTCTGGTATGTTAGAAACCATCTATATCTCCATTACTTATTTCTATGGTTTTGTTTTGTTCGATCATATTGGTTGCCCCATTTAAGTTTAATGTAAAACATAGTTGCGAAAATTAAACTATTTCAATATCTCGATTATTGTTATAATCAATTTTATTCAGAATCAAATTTTTCGTTTTTGAACTTTACCCAAATATGATGATATTGTGGTGAATAAATTATTTAATATAAAAAAAAAACTTTTTCTGATATAATAAAAAAATGATTTAAAAATAGTTGTTAGACAAAATTTCTAAATCAGGAAAACAATTTTTCAGAAAAAAGAAACATTTTACAAATTGAAGTAATCAGTTTATTGCTGATGTTTCTTTTTCTTAACAAAACAGCTAAAAGATTTCAGCTGTTCTAAACATGCACTTTATCGGGGTGGTGTTCTCTTTTCTTCCACTACTTTTACTCCAGGAAATGTTTCCAAAAAACATTGGATGCATTGATGCGCCAAGCATTAGTAGCAGTTGGATATGTAGAAAAAAAATAAAAATCCGGGGATTTTCCTTTTCAACATGGTCAACAGGTAAATATGTTGAGTTTCTCAAATTCGAAGTTGATCCCTGAAATAAAATGGTACTGTGTGCTAGATTTTTGGGGTGGGTGCCTAGCTTCCATGTTCTTCCCCATTTTTCTGCAACAGGCTTTACATTCCCCTTAACAAAACGCGGCAATGAGTTTAGACAGGAAATTGCATTCTGAAAAATGGATAACAAGGAAGTGGTGAGGTACGGTACAGGTTGTGGAACTCTACCAGGGCAAAGCTTGTGGACTCCGCTTTTAGCGGGTTGTATATGGTAATTTTGTGAAATTCAATAAAATGAACTGTGTATTTATTTATTTTTAGACTATTAAAGTTGCCTCGTTTGTTGAAGTAAACTACTTTGTTAGTCTCAATATGACACGTTTATTATTTGATTTTTGTATTACCTGGAACATTATCGAAGTACTAAAGAACCTCGCAAGCGCTGATATTCACACTGGATTTTTCTCTGGGTTCCAGTTCAAGGTGCACAAAATTTGGTTATTGAAACAAATTTAGAGAATGGATGAAGTTTTAATTTAGTATTTTGGTGGGAGAGAAAAAGCGGAAAAATAATGTTTAAATTGTTGGTCTCATTGCCGTTTTTTGTTCTTATTTAATTATTATTTCTTTTGAACCAAATTTTTTCCTATTTTATAACATGTCTATTTTTATTAGCTTCCTTCTATCTAATTTACTATTGATGTATAATGTGTTATTTATTTTAATTTATTTATGCAACGCTTTTAGGTTGGTCTTCTAACTAGTCGCGTTATCTACCTTTCAGACAAGTAAATCTTCAAATTGGATTAGCTATAAGCTTGCTCAGGATAGGTGTTTTGGTCTGAAACTGTGAAACGTCGTTTACAAAATTGTTTTAGATAAAGTGATAGGTGACTTAGAATGTATAGATGTTTGTAAAGTAAAAGATTAATGGAGGGTTTAAAATGTGTCAGTCATATTAGTTGGAGGACTAATTTGAGATTCTATTACTGTAAATATTTGGGGAAAATACCAAAATAGAGAAAACGCTTCAGCTTTTCGTTCAAATGCATGGAAGTGGGAATGTGATAGGCTTTGCGTCAAACCTTCACTGAAAGGGTGAAAGCTTGTTAATCGGGCACACGTTTATATGGGCTCTGAAATAGATGAGATGGAAGTATTAATAAAGAAATAGGCAGATCACGATTCTTAAAAAACTTCAGAGAAATAGAGTAAATATTTGAGGACAGTTGTTTTATTAGCACAAGTTATTGTTTACAATAAGGAATTCATGAAAATTTAAACTTTCAAGTATATATTGTTTACATAAATAATTTATGGAAAAATATGTTTGTTTATAATTTATAAAATTATAAAACTATTATTCTATTTGTCCCTTTTCTCTTTCACTTTCATTTTCTCTCTTTTTTTTAATTCTCCTCCACACAAGTTGTTCAATCATTAATCAGTAGTAAAAAATCAGAAGTAAAAACTTTACACGTAGACAGATAAAAATGTGTTACAGAATAAAATCTTGTTTAATAAATAATATTTTTTCTATACAATTACATTAGCGAATTATGTACGTATATAACTAATAGATATAACTATTCTTCAATGATGTTTGTGCAATATACACACGGCATAAAAAAATCAACTGCATCCTCTTTCATCTAAAAGTAAAATTTCATACTCATTTTTTAATTAATTTCATACTCAATTGACCTGTAAAAGTGAATATAAATATCTTAGTATTGGATAATCAAAATTGTTATTAGTTTACAAATATATTTTTTAAAATATAGGCAGGTAATTTATGCCCTACCAATTGTTTTTCCTACCCATCATCATTCCCTAAGTAAAGATACCAGTGATGATTTTGGTTTCTTTCCTCAAAAGTGGAAAGGAAAATTTAGTGTAAAGTAACAAGTTTCAAGGAATCCCAATCTCCAAGAGAAAGCAGGTTTCCAGAGATGTTTAGGGTTTTAGTGGATGAGATATTTAGTCATTTAAAAAGTAATTAAATCAATTTTAAGTTATAAAATTAGTGGATTATAGACTCTTTTATGGTGTTCTGAGTTCATCCCAAACAGGAATATGGATTTACTTTATTCGTTTTAGTGTATTTTTCCAAGGAATAAGTGAACGTAACCTATCTTTTAACAAATTAACATGTTAGGATGAACTCGTACAATCTAAGGTTTGAATCACTTCATAATTTTAAAAAATTGAATTTAGCTAATATTAAAGAACAATAATTCATAATTGAAAAACATATATAGGAACAAACTTAGGCAAAAACAAAAACCGAACAGTTAATTACTTATGCAAGATTTCATTGACCGTGAAAAGCAGGTCCGGGAGGCAAAAATCTTTTCATAAATATGCGCTATACAAGCAGCTCAAATTTTTCCAACCAGATCTATTTAAGGTCGAGAAAATATTCATGCAATAATGTAAGCAGAGAACATAAATTTAAATTCACTTGAAATTTATTCATCAAAGTAGCTCTTCGAATCTGGGTTTGAGAACAGCCGGCATTTGCAGTAAAGATGAAAAGATAAGCGAATTTCAGAGTATTATAAAATACAAATTGGCAAAGTTAAGTTTTCCTAAAAAAATAACAATTGCATTTTGATCCCAAGGATCCTGGATGAACTCTATTTAAGACAGCACTTTCTCCACTTCAATTGTCACCTCTTTTGGTGGTTTCTCAGCATGAAGATTAGCAACAATGCCCTTCTTCGAATAGTAATCAATAACCTGCATGTTCAATGCACACATTTCTAATCATGACCACGAAACTACAAATAAAATTCTAACGAAGACAGAAAAGAGAAAGACATTTCTCAAACAATTATCAGAGAGATTATAAATGAGACTAGAAATTTGCAAATGGTGAAAGGAGATAACCTCATGTTATTTTGTTGACAGTTACTATACTGTTATATCTAATGTTTCATATTAATTCTCATGTTGTTGATTAAAGAGGACTTTTTACCAAACAAAGCTTCCATCATAATTGGCTATAGGACCCACTGCTTTAAATTGAATACAAAAAGAATCTTCTTCTCCAACATGACCAACCATATCATGTTACTTAACAAGAAAAAAGGATTTGGTATCATACCGGTTCGGTCTGCTTATGAAATGCCTCCAGTCTCGACTTGAGAACAGCTGCAGTGTCATCCTTGCGCTGAATAAGTGGTTCACCAGTAACCTGAGGAAAACAAATTCAATAGAGAAAGTGTTATCGGGCCAGTGCTTTTCTTATGCTATCACAACAAAGCATGTCGCATGCCCTAAACATTTAAAATCGCCATCCTCCATAACCCCTAAACACGATTATCCAAAATGAAAAAAACATTACAAAAATATTTTGTATAAATTATCAGTACTGCCAGCAACCAAAACCAGTAGTGCACTAAACCAAATTTATTGCCCAATTTAACATTGACAAAAAAAGTGTGGTTTAACTCAACCCTAAATAGTACTCTAAGGGGGAGAATAGCCACGTCTTAGCCATTGTGCAACACTTCAACATCCTCCTCCCACACCCAGGATTGGACAGGAGTTTTAAGTTAGTATGAATACACATTTTAGAGAGCCAAACATCAAGACTGAATTGGCTTTGGCACCACATTAAAAAGGAACTGTGCCTGAACCAATTTCAAAGTCTAGTTCTAAGGTGGAGAGTCGACCAAGTCTTACAAGAAAGAGCATGGCCATACGTCTAGCCATTGTTGGACATCTAAACAATATTTAAGTCTGAAAGATACTTGTAGCTTTTCAGAATCCCCATAAATGTTAAAGCACCTATAAGCAGAAATCATTTTTGGGCAACTAACATTTTGCAGGGTTTAAATAATGGTACAGACTTACATCATCAATGCCAGCAACCTTAGGAGGGGCAAATTTTGTGTGGTATGTTCTGCCACTGGATGGGTGTATCCAGCGACCAGTAATTCGCTCCTCAAGGATTGCATCGTCAATTGCAAAATTGAGCACCTTATCAACTTTCACTCCCTGTTTATCCAGCATCTCATCAAGCTGCAAAGAAAGAAAAAGCAGGTTGAAAAGATGTAGATGAACAGCATGTAAAACAATGCACATAACATTTTACACGAGCCCAATATTTTAAACAAAAGAAACTAACTTACTAGTTACTTGGATGTTACACAATGTCATACCTTTTGTGCTTGGACCACAGTTCTTGGGAAACCATCAAGAATGAAACCTTTCTGACATGATGGTTTTTTCATTGCTTCATCTATAATCCCAACAACCAAGTCATCAGAAACAAGTTCTCCCTGAAATATTGTAACATAATATCATATTAGCAATCTGTCATGAAAGTACACGGTAAAACAGTTAATCCACAGATAAGATTCCATGTATGAAGGCCATACCTTATCCATAGCTTCTTTAGCCTTGACACCAAGAGGAGTCTTGGCTGCAACAGCTGCTCGTAACATATCACCAGTAGCTAGGTGGCATAAGCAGTACTCATCCTTTATTATTGGCGACTGGGTACCTTTTCCAGATCCAGGTGGGCCTGCAGTAACATATTTTTAAGTTATATTCCACTTAAAATAATATATATATATATATATATATATATATATATATATATGTATATGTATATGTATGTGTGTGTATATGTATGTATATGTATATGAATATGTATGTGTGTGTATATGTATGTATGTGCGCCCATGTGTGGTAAATTTTAAAGCATGAATCTTAGATGAGCAAACCAAGCCAAATATAGAGATTAACCCTACCTCGCTAAGTTGTCAGTACTGAAAAATGGAGTAATACATGGAAGTATATCATTGAAACAGTAGCCTATGTGAAGTACAGAGAAACAATACAATCTAAGTGCTACTCATCATTTACAGGAGTTATCACTTCAGAAAGTATAAGTTTGTTTTGAATGTTTATGGAAGACTACTGTTTCACTGTCTTCATTTTCCAAGCGATAAATAAAAAAGAGAAGTATAGAGAAGGACTATCCTTCATGCATGAAACCTCCCTTTAAAATAAGAAGATTGTAGGAATACACACATCAATTTAGCGCTTCATTTTATCAGTCTGGTAAATATAAAGAGTTCGTGTGACAAATGATCAGAATTGTATTAGTAGTAAAAAACGCCAACATTGACAAGATGCAACAAACTACGAATGTAAAGGCACTATGCTAGAGTACAATTATAATCAAGTGAGTAAAAAGTACTGTAGACAAAAATCAGCATTACTTGATTGAAATGAAATCCCGGAGAAATATAAAACAACAGACCTAGCCTCGTTCTGTCAACAGTACACATAAATCTACATACTAAAGTTAGCCTGAGAGTAAAAATACACAGAAATTCTACAGGAAGTTAGAAACATTTTGAAAACTAGACTATTATCCAATCGAACCATAAGAAAATTGGCAACATAAGTGCAAGTCTGTATTGTCTAAAAGTAAAGCTACGTAGTCTGTATAAAAATTATTAAACCTAAAATGTGAGTTACATATGAATGGTGACCAAGAATAAAAAACAGAGAAAGAACGCACAAGCCTCCTAAGGATGCGTGTAGATTTACCGTTAGAGAATCATATTCAAATGACAAGATAAAAAAATAGTAAACAGTTCGGAAGCAACAAGAGCTACTGTATGAAACACCGGATGCCTTGTGGAGTTCAAAACACCGTACACCATAGCAGGCAATAACTTCGTAGCATATGATCACCAATTCAAAAATAATATTCATCTACCAAAGAATGAAAACTAAAAGGATGTTTAAAAAAGTTAACCAGAAAAAAAAAAATTCCATAAAGCATAAAGCAAATCCTTTCATTTTATTCTCCAGTAACTGATTACTCAGTACATCAAGGCATAGGATTATCTCCATCCTGAAACGTAGAGCTAAAACCCCTTAAATCTCCCATCGTTTTCCCTATTAAAAAAAATAAGTACCTCCCGGAGGAAACCCTAAAAACCGCATCAACAACATTGAAACGCAACGAGTGCGAAAGCATCGAACTATTTAACATAACCATTTTCGGATCTGAATTAACAGCGAGTACAATACGAAAACTTATCGTAAATTCTTCGATATTGATATATATATATATATATATATATATATATATATATATATATATATATATATATATATATATATATATATATATATATATATATATATATATATATATAAAGAGAGAGAGAGAGAGATGGAGATACCAACGAGAATAAGGCGCTTGTCAGGTTTGGAGGAGCACTTGAAGCGACGAAGGAGCTCAGTCATGAGATCCAGAGAGGGAACATCTTCCAAGTTAGTGTTCGCCATTGCTGTTTCTGTTTCTGAGGGCGTAGAACAGAACAGAAGAAACCAGAATCACGTTCTCCAACGTTGGGTTCTACGGTTCGGTTCGGACTCTCCCACACTCAACAAACTCAACTCGCCGTCTCCCTTGTCTTTCCTTCTTACCCTTTCCTTCTATAAGTGTTAGGTGACTGCTTTTTTTAATTATTTAATTATTACTTAAAAAACTTTTTCCTCTTGTGTATAATTTTGAAAATATCTTGTTTTAATCTTCATGCTTATAATTTTAAATAAATAAATAATACCTTAAAATAGATTTTTAAGGATTTAAATTAAAAAGAAAAAAAAATTATAGAGGGATAAATTATAATTAAACTTTTTTAATATTTTATTCGGGTAGGTGTAGACCCTTTCCGCTGTTTGAATTCTTTCATCTGTTTTCGTGACTGTGATACGCAACGGTGTACACTACCAACAGTTTGGTACACCAACCTCGCCTAATCACGGCTATTAAAATATTTATGTAATTTTTAAAAATTATTTTAAATGCTATCTTAAAGCTTATGGACCGCAAGATGCAATTTCACAAAACACAGTTCTGCATTAAACTGTAGAGGATTTCAATCCCATCTTATTACTTGGTTGTTTTCATTAGCCAACAAAGCTAATTTTTATGCTCCGTTTTTAATAGCTGTTTTTAGTTGAAGATGCTTCTTTTACCCACAGAAATTTGTATACCATTCTACAATGAAATCAATAGTTCTTGGTTTATTTTAACTTTTAATTTATTAAATTGAGAATGTATACCATGTTTTAGTTTTTATGATTTTTTTAATGTTGGTTTAGTATTTATTCTTGCAAAAACTGTATTGAAATTTTTATCCTCTTTATTTTTTTATTTGTCTGCAGTTATGATTTTTTTCACCGTTTTAATCTTCAAATTAAAAGAAAAAAAAACGTAATTTTAATTTTCAATTTTATATATGCTTTATTTATTTTATTTTTTATGTTTTAACTAGTTACATTATTTTTATGATATTTTAAAAGAAGTTTTTTAAAAACATAACGAATGAAATCAAATAAAAAATAAAAGCATCAAATCGTTTGTCATAAATTAGAATGAGAGGAAAACTATAATTTAACCTTTTAAAATTAACCAATATCAGTAATTTTATCAAAATTTTATTATATATAAGTTGGAAAATTAGTCGAATGTTAATGGAATTTGAAATATTATACAATATAAGATTTTAAAAAGTTTTACTTTGTAGAGTTTAATAAAAATAATAATTAAATATATAAAAGAAGATGACGGAGATTTAAATTTACCTAATATTAGGTAAATTAAAATCTTTATTTTATAGTCAAATTACCAAAAAAACTATAGTTAGGGATTGTCTGGTTTCATTTTTTTTTTCATTTTATTAATTACGAGAAAAAAAATTACCTTTTATTTTATTTCTTATGTTCAAATGTTTATATAGGAAAATGTGGATTCAAGAGTCCAGAAAGTTTTACAAGAAAAATTATAGATGTGTTGAACTCTTTCCTTTTCTCACAATTCCATGTAAGGCTTCAATTAAAAATGATGTTTGTTTTAATGGATTAAACGCTCCCTCATACAAGAGGATACAGAGATTGAATGAGTGCATATAGAAAAGTCGGTCTATACTAAAATAAATAATAACTAGTAGTGAAGTTTTCATTATCTTATTTTTCAAGGGTTGGACGCTATGGCGATGAATTTATTTTCTACATAGTAAAAACAAATTGTGAATAAACTAAATTAAACTTTAACATATTTTTTTCGTGTAATTTAATTTATGAATTGATAATATTGTCAATTTGACTTCCAACATTTACAACAATTAATCAAACTAATTTCTAATATCGTATCAGAATAACAATAAAGTTTCACTGATAATAACAACTGTTAATTTATCTTACGACTAAGAACGTGTGTATATATATATATATATATATATATATATATATATATATATATATATATATATATATATAATATAGGAATTGTTTATTAATATATTTAAATTAAATATTAATTGTTTGAACCATTTTTTATTTTATAATTATTATATTAAGTAATTTATAAAAAGAATTAAAGAATAATAATAATAATAATAATAATAATAATAAATTTAAATTTTTATAAAAAACTTATAATAAAATAAAATTGATAATAATTTACTTAAAAATATCTGACATCATAAATTTTTATTATACATTTAAAAAATAAAAAACAACTAATGGAACTGCTCCTGTAAAAATATCTTAAATCATTTTATAAAAATATATTAAATAATTAATATTACAATATAAAAAATAATTAAAATAAATAATTTTATTTATGTAATAATTTTTCAATCGCAATCAATACTTATTAGAATAACTGTGTAATTAAAATATTTAATTTTTTAAAAGGATTTCAAATATATATTTTTAAAAAAACTATTAAAGTTGTAACTAGTCATTCAGAAAGAGTTAAATGTTTATGGTACAAGTGTTATTGATGAAGATTAAGAAATTTATTTCGAAGTTAAATCAAAATAGACTAAACATATATGTTGAATATAACAAAACACATAGAATGATTAGCTTTCTATCGATTATCACTTAAACATGACATAGCAAAAACCTGTGGATTTCCATTTAGAAATCTTAAAAACAATTTATAGTAGATTTATTTGCTCAAAGAACTCGAGCACGGTTAGAAATCTCTTCTAACAAATGTATGATGGAACAAAGTCTCGAAGAATTTATTTTATTCACATAAATTTATTTAACTTTAGATAGTATAAATAGTGTATAAGATACGAGATACATTTGGACAAATATTTAAATAAATATTTAGTAAAAAAAAAACCAAGAGATAAATATATTTAACATTTTATAAATGGAAAATAATTTATAAAAATTTTATTATTTAATGTTAAATATTTTGTTGCAATGAAAGCCTTTATCATATATTTGAGGATTTTCGATCATTACAAGTTATAATTATAAGTATTTATAATCATAAAATTGAATAATAAAGATAGATTATAATCATAAGAAATCGCGTAATTATAAATATACATTATAATTGATATTGACTTTAAATAATTTTATACCTGAAAAAAAACACCCTAAGTATAAAAACTATAATAAAATATTTAATAACAAGTAATTAGATTTAAAGGTTAGATGATGTCCATCAAATTTAATAAAATAATTATATTATTATATAATAATATAATAAATTTAATAATAATATAATAAATTTCATAATGATAATAATTTTAATAAAAAAGAATTACAATAATAAAAAAATTATAAGCATGATAAAAAATAATTAATATTATAAAAATATAAATATAATTAAAAATAAAAGATAGATAATAAAAATAATAAAAAAAATCTTTAAATTAAGTTTTTCTGTTTTTTCTGATAAAAAAAGTTAAAAAAAAGATAATTAAAAACATTGTGTGATAAGGACTTTTAAAAATAACAAAATTATGGAGAAACTGCTAGGACAAAATTTGTATGCCAAATGACAAGTTAACATAATGGTCTTGACAAGTTCAGGAAATGGTAAAGTTCAAACAACTAAAACTAAATATTCTCCAAAACTATAACATCACAACAATTACGATTTTGACAGTTAGACTGCAATACATAACTCTTTACTCGTTATCCTTCTTTTTTGATTTCTTTTTCTTCTTCTTAGACTCTTCACCAGCCTCCACTACTTCATTATTATCCTTTTTATTCTTCTTTTTAGCTGTTCCATCCTGCTCACTCACGACCCCATTGGCACCATCATCCTGATCGTCATGTTCCAATTCCTGTCCCAATTTCCTCTTTTCTTTCTTTTTCTTCTTCTTCTCTGATTTGTGATCCTCCACAGCATCACCATTAGTAACTTTTGTAGGCTTATCTACAGCCATGTCATCGCCTTCTTCGGCAGCAGCTTTTTGTTTTTTCTTTTTGGCTTTCTTGCCTGAAACTTCAGCAGGCACTTCTGTTTCCATCTCTGTATCTGCAACAATTAGTTAGTATACATCAGCATCCAATCCAAGACATTCAACATATTACGAACTATAAAATCTTAAGTGTGAAACAAACTTAGCTCTCCACCATATAGCCTTGGCAAAAAAAAAAAATAACGTTTACCATTTGGTTGCCAATTCAAGTTCAAGTAAATTTAAAACCAAAATTATATTTTTAAGTTTAGGGGAAAATCAGAAAAGGTAACAACGGGTATCTGTGCATCCGTACCTTTGTTTTCAGCACTTTCAATAGCAGATTGCATGACATCTATGTTCTTGCGAGGTGCAACTCCCTTGTCATAAAAGTCGAGTCGTTCCTCAACTTGCTCACGCAGTTTTTCCCCAAAAACAGTAGTACCCCTTTCTGCATTGAGGTACAACAAAATCATGTCAAAGGTGCTACGTACAGCATAAGATATTTCTAAATTGAATGTGAAAACGAACCAGAAAAGCAGTCAATCCTTGACGCAATTGAGCATTTATTTGCAAGGTAACGAGCCATTCTGCCCTTGTTTTTGGCAGATGCCCGACCAATAAAAGAAGAATGGAATATCAAACCATATTTGGGAGTGTTTCCTCTTGTTTTTAATGCCCTGCATAAAGCAGGCAAGTATATTGTAAATTAGAATGGAACAGTATTGTCTGTATTTTAGCTGAGATCTGGTAAAGCATCTTAAACAATGGGAATACCAAATTGTTACAGTTTCACTTTCACAAATGAAGCTATGTTGGTTTTAGTTACAAACTTCCGAAGAACAAATTGGCACTTCAAAAGATACTTTAAAACAAAAAGTGGAGTTTAAACCTGAACAAAGCCTTCTCTGCACCAAGAATTTGAAGAGTTGACGAGGGGCACTTAGCTAAATTTGTGAGACTACCAGCATGGGAAATCAAACGAGCACCAACAACTTCACCAATTAGAGAGGCCAAATTTGGTGCAATATCATTCATTTTTGCAACCAGGTAATCATACAGGTTCTTCCTGTACTCAGACAGATCCATCACCCTTTGTGCAAATTGTTGGACATTGATCAAATCAACTGGTGACAAATCCTGTCCTGAAAATAACCAAGAGAAAGAAAGAAGACTTAGATACACAGTGAAGCAAAAGTTAAAACAACAGGAGACAGTAGACGTTTGTTTCACAATATTTTTTATGCATTCTAGAGGATACGAAAGAGGGATTATTCATTCTAATGTTCGTTAGAAAGTCATCCAAAATTCTTTCCAAGTATCTTTTCTTCACAGGAAAGTTATATTTCAAGATGTATACAGTTTTTATTCTCATGTTTAGGGAGTAAGAAAGCTACATTCTCATGGGAATATAGAACTTTATTTTCCAACCCCACTAATACTTCCATTTTTTTTATTTTAATTATTTAATTATTTTTAAATTTAAAAGTTTTCCTAGTAATATCATAATACAACCAAACACATTTTCAAATATATCCCAGGAATAACATTCCAGAATAATATTCCTCAGCATGTGATTCCTAAGGAAACATCATAACATGAAACAAAGCCCCAAAGATTTCTACCCATGGAGGCCTTGGCAGCTTCCACAATTTCCTTTGCTTTATCTTCATCCCCAACTATGTCAGTTAAGCCTGGAATCTTCTCTTCAGTCAACTTGGCCTTATCCTCAATATATTTTGAAACTTTGGCATACAGATAATTATCATTTACTATTTTCACCAGCTCAGGGAAATGCCATGAATACCACTCTCTGGACATAATTGACAAGCCAAACAGAAATGAATTCATGTTAATACAACTCTCAAAGAAAGTGAATTATTTTAAATGCAAAAATTCAAAAGTCATTTGAGCATTCAATGTCATATCATATTACCTAACTCTCATAGAAAACGAATTGATATCCTTGTCAAGTGTATCTAGGAGGAAGATAGCTTGAATAACCATGTTGTCCACTCGATTGACATTAAATTTCACCTTTGCTCTGCTGTAACTATGCCCCAGACCAAGTTGAGCCTTTTCCAAATCTCCGGACTGAAAAATCCAAATAGAACAAAACATTATATAAAAACATATTTCAGTAGTAGGACAAAGGCTTCATGCACACAACACAAAAAGTGGCCTGAGGAAACACTAACCTTGAGATCACCCACAAAGGTATCAAAATGGAGTCGCACGCCGCGAAGAAGTTCACTCACAAACTCATTACTCTGGCAAGGAATCTTAGTCACTTCAGATATTTGAGAACCAATCTTAGGATCGGACACACCAACACTGAACTTGCCCTTTTTACCTTCTTTTACTTTAGGCAAGTTAGTCTCCAAAACAGTCCTCAACTCATCAGTTAATATGCCTGAAAACCCACAAAAATAATCAACAATCAGTAGCCACTAAGACACAACTACAACTTTAAACCTGTTTGGATAAACTTCTCCATATAAAAATAATGAATTTTACCGGAGAATCTCAATCTATTTTACCTTTTTATTTTCTTCTATGAGTATATACGGAAAAGCATATGCAAATAGAACCCAACTAATGTTATTCTATTTCATACATATCATCAAACACTGGAAAAACGATAAAAATGAACGAAGCAACGCCGTAACAGAAAGAAAAATCAACCAAAAGGAATAAATATGACCATTAAAGTAATAAACTCGGTACACCAATTGTTCAATATAACTTAAAACACGCAAGCTTATCAAAGTTAACATGGAGGAGATACGCGTAGAGAAAATAACAGCACAAGAAGTGAGAGGGTGGTTTATTACCTTCGGAGACTGCGTTGCACTGCTTGAGGGCATCAAGAGCGGAAGTGAAAGGGTTGAAGGAACGAAGCTTAACTACTTTCCCAAACCTGTTGAGGTCGGAAACGGAGTTCCTAACTGCCTCGGTGTTCTGACCAATTTCGTCGAGGCCATGAGCCTCAAACAGTGCGTAGCCCGAAGCGGATTCGTATAGAAGAAACAGTGCCATTGGAGACCAAAACTGAAACCCTAGAAATGATGAAGCGAGAAAGGGAATGGCATTTGAAGGGAGTTGCTGCGGCCTACCGGGTATCGAGGTTTAGGGTTTAAGAAAGAACGAAGTGATGCTGCTTCGTTTAATAATGGGTCAGGTCGGATCCGTTTGGGTCGGGTTATTAGCCGAATAAACCCAGTAGCTTCTATTGGTAATTTGCAGTGGGCTTCAAATTTGAACCTTATAGGCCCATGCTCATTATCACTTTTACAACTGAGCATTGTAGTTATATATATTGAAGGAGTAAGAAGACATGTTAGTGATGATATTCAGATATAATTCATTTTAAATTTTGGTTTCATATTTTTTTATAAATTAAATTTACAATAAATAGTAACCATAATTGATTAATTTTCTAGCCACTTTTAGTGTCTGACTTTATCTTGTGTGTAGAAACCATTCATAGTCATAGTTAATAGAAATTTAAACAATAAATATATTAATATGAGATAGATTGAAGGAATTCAAACTTTGTAAAAAATGTTTGAAAAAATTAATTAAAGTCTGCCTCTCGTTGTGATTATTTTTTAAAATATATAATTTAAAAATAAATTTTAATAGTTTTAACTGTTTTTTTTAATTCAAAAAATTGGTTAACTGATTTTATAAAAATGTTTGAAAAAATTATTTTAATTTGTATATATTTTTATTCATTTAATAATATTTCACCTTTCGTTTAGTTGATTAGTTATATTATTGGTACTAAATACGTTAGTTTTAACTTATTAATTATTAGTTGAAATACATGTTAAAAGAGTGCCCTTTTCATAATTTGTATTTATTTTTTTTATAATATTTCTAGATGTATCTAATATTTTTACTCTATATATTATATTTTTTATTTTCTTCCATAAATAAAAATGAGAATTTATTTATTTATAATATATTTCTCTCCCTCCTTTAAATACATACGACGTTCCTCTTTTTTTCACTTATTATACACAATACTTTTTTGTTTATCCGAATTTTATATTATTAATTTTTTAAAATAATTTTTTTTTCTCATTCTTTCGATATACTCACATTTTTTTAATGTCACATGTCATATGTCTCTCTCCTCTTTCTATTAATAAATAAAATGTATAAATGATAATCTGTTATGTAAGTTTTTCTTCTGTCTTTTATAGAAAAAAATAATTATAAAAAATAAAATTATATATATATATATATATATATATATATATATAATTAACGGAAACACGTATGAAAGTATATTTGTGTGTTTTTATTTTTATTATATATTTTATTTTAATTTAATAAAATTTAATGTATATATTATTTTAAAAATATAAATATTTTTTTTAAATTATAAAAAAGACAACTAAATGAGAAGAGAGAGACTAAATATAATTAATGAAATAAGAAATGTTGATATTTTTTATTATTTTATATTTGTGAGAAAAAAATTAATAAAAACATGTGATTAGAAGAGGTGGAAAGAAAATTAATATAAACATAAGTTATATTTTTTTCTCATATATATATATATATATATATATATATATATATATATATATATATATATATATATATATATATATATATATATATAAAGCATAACTTACAAGGATTCCTTATAAATAAAAATATTACTTTGATGTAAACAGGATACGAAGTGGTTAAATTAAAAAATAAAAATAAAAATAAAAGGTGCAAATATCTTTAATAAATAAAATATTTGCCACATCTAAAAAACATAATTTGTTTCATTATTTTTTGTATTGTTATTTCAATTTATCCTAAATTTATGAAAACGCGCTACTAATAAGATTAAATTTTAAGAAGAACTATAAACTATAGTTCATTGTTGAACAAGATTAAAATTTAAGAAAAATACTATAAAGTTCCAGTCACAATTTTATAGTTGTAGTAAATTTTAAAATATTAAAAGTTGTTCTAAAATATGTTAGTTCTTAGTCCGTTCCTAAACTTAGTTGTTTTAGAATTCTAATACAATCAATAAATGTTTTATTTATATAAATTAGTCCAAAGTGTTTTCATTTATTATTTTTTAAAATTTTTGCTAGTTCTAACTACTCTTTTATAACTACTCTTCTTAAAGCGTCCTCCAATTTATAATTGTGTCCATTAAAGGGATAATAATTTTTTATTTAGTATAATGGTGAAGTTGAACTTTTCTATAATATGAAAAGTTCAATCTAATTATAAAATTAAAATAAATTCATAAAAAGATTATTTATGGGAATATTTTTTACTTCAAAGAACCCTTATATGTTATCATTAAAATATAATTTAATTCATATATGTTTAGATTACATCATATTTTAGTGATAACAGGTAAAAATATGTTTAAAATAAAAAATGAATGTAAAAGTTAAAAAATAATATATATATATATATATATATATATATATATATATATATATATATATCCAAAAGATCATTCAATTATCTCTATTATAATATTCTATAGATATATTTGAATAAGTTATTACAAGAAAAAAATTATAAACTCAAATAAACTTGAGTAAATTAAAATAAAATAAAATAATGATAAATTAACTTATATATAAACTACTTTTAAATAAAATTAATTTCAAATTTTATATTTATTTTTCTCTTTGAAGAAATTCATTAAATGTTTTGGATAATATTAACATTCTGCGGAAGATAATGTGTGAAAACTAATATATAACTAAATCCTAAGATTAAAAAAACAATCAAATTATTCTTGAAAAAATCAATCAATGTTTATGGTGTTAAGAATATTTTGGTTCCAGCCCATTATATGACTATTTGTATTTATAATTAAATTATTTGTATCTATCGTTTTGTACCTACAAAATAGCTATCCCATTTATAAAAATTATACATGAATTTCCCATTTTGCTCTCTATTATTCGAGTTCCATGTGGGCAAATTACGTGTAAAAGCAACAGACTATATTACATGCTTGTTTCATACCAAGAGGGTGCCACCAACAAAATGAAATCAATTATGACAAATAACAGATAAAAGGTACTTTGATCTCGTTACATTATATTAGCCCTTTATTATCACAAAATAGTTTTTCAATGTCAATCGGTACCATCAAAATGACCCTACAGTGAGCTGCAACTGGACGGGTGGGGTGCCTTGGGAGGAAGGGGGTAAATCATCACCGGAACCAGCATGATCTCCTCATTAACTCGTGTTAATGTAAAATGCAATGCCTTTAATGCTGTCCATCCCCTCTAAAAGATGGATATTCAATGAACGAATTCAAGATGCAAGAATTATGCAACTAACGGATTACTTTCCCACCACACATGCTCAGACATATTACCAATCATAATGCAGAAAACTCTTGCAATTTGTTTCTTGTCTGGTCTATCACCTTATAATCATTTTGTTGTCAGTGCCTCGCTAGTGGACAGAATCCTTTCCATGTCCTCAAGATACGGCCATTTTTTCTTGCTATTCTTCTCATTCTTTACCTCCTGCTTCAAAAAGAAACAATGAGGTGAAATGTTGAAACTGGAAAAGTTGGCTGTCTTATTTTTAAAACTGGCATTCATTCATTCATTACTGTACACTAGTATTATAGGCTATAAACAAACAGCAAACAGCGTTTTCTATTTGAGGTACTCAAGATGTAGTGCAACAATCCTAATTCTTAGTCGTAAACATTCTTTGGGATAGTGATACGATGACGGTGCGAGCAGAAAGAGCAAATGGTAAAAAATTCTATACTAAAAAATACAAACTTTCTTCTCTGCCTTATATTTCCAAAACGTTGGTAAATCGGTCCTGCAATCTAGGCCAGACACCTAGCTAAATTCTCTAACAAAAAAAATTCCTCAGTCAGAAAAGATAGCTCATGGTCAAAGGTCAGATGTAATCGTTTAACCATGTGGGCCTCAAATGGTCAAGTTGTGCAGAAGACCCACTATCAGGTACCGAGTCTCCGATAAAAAAAAGTGGACCGAACAAAGTTGCTAGCAAGATAAAAGACAATCATGCATTCAATATTTACCATCAGAACAGAAAATAAATTATAAATTTATGTTATGCTCACATTAACTTGCAAAAGAAAATTGTGTTAATTTTTTAGAATAGGTTATCTGGACATACAAGGATGGGTTATGAAAGTTGAACAAAGTTTATGAAGTTAAAAATGCCAGCACCAATCAGAATAAGGACTTTGTTACCCTTTCCACAGCATTCGATGTAGACACTTCCTTACACATAAACAACCAAGAATTATTGATAATTATTCTTAGGGACTGAATTATTTGCTTTTAGATTAACATCAAGTCACTCATGAAGAAACATACCTCGTATTTCTGTAACAAAGATGTCCACAGAGATTTACACTGCCCAGGACTTCTGCTGATCCCATTAGACAACAAATTCTGAGATATTTCTTCCCAGAGGGCCATCCTTCCCCTCACAACTTGAAATCTGTCATTCAATTCCCCACGCATACCAATGAGCTTCTTAACTTCATCATGTTTCCATTTATTTCTCTTTGCTGATTTTGAAGATTTAGATTCAGAATTTGATGTATTTACAGAATTGCATTCTTCAGTGTCTTCAGAATCTTCAGAATCATCATCCTTCAATGGGGATGACTTCTCTTTTAGTGGAACATAACCATTGTTAGCTTTAATAGTCTTCTCAAATGGAGAGGATCCAACAAGTGGTTTAAAAAGATCATCTGAAACCTCTGCATCAGACAAGTCGTCCTCAACTCCACTTGAAGTAGCAATGTCTTCAGTAGGTAGTATACCACCTAAATCAATTCGATCTGCATCAAGTAATAGAACTGAGTGAAAAAAAAAATATATGATATATAAAAAAGAAATGTAGCCAAAAATAATATCAGTAGAAATAAAATTCATTAATATCTAGACCAAATATAGTAAAAAAGAAAAGGGAGACACATAATGATTCTGCTGCGCAAACCATGGAAGTTCATTGCACTTCAACACTGCTGGAATAGGCACTTAAATGCCTATTGGAATTTGTAGCAGTTAATGCCTATTCTTGTACCTAGAATATTCAATACACTAGAATCATCATTAATCTCCTAGTAAACACAGAATCTTAATTACCAGATTTATATCTATCAATAAACACTACATGTTGCGAAAGATGACCTATTCACCTTTACATAAAATGCATAATTGCCCATAAACAAATATAATGTATATCAACAAGACTTCCACAATTTTATATTCCATAAATGTAAATTGATGTTACCTCTTATTTGGGTTTTGGTTCTCTGATTTTCTTTCCCATGTCCATCCACCACTTTTCTCAATGTCGATATCCCATCAACATGGAATTTTCCAGACAGCTTTGTGTTTATCTCATTAGCAAGAACAGCTGCAGGATTTTCTACGGCAATAGCAATAACTTCAGGCCGTTTGCCACTGTACTTCCTCACCATTTTTCTCAACACCTCAGACACAATTCTTTCCATATGAGCCAGTGGACAGCTCACAGGGCAGCTTGAAAGAGCAGCATGAGCAGCTTTATGGAGTGCATCTAACAGCTTTCCCTTGTCAAGCCACAGGCATCTTGTGGTAATTCTTATTTTTCCTTTTAAGGTGTTCTCAACTGGACTGTCTAAATTTTGTGGGCGAAATATTTCCATGCTGGAAAGGGATGAATATTAGCATGTTATTAAACAAGTTATACTTGGCTTATACTTAATTCAAAACATTAAATATTACCTAACAACTATGATGCCATCTAATGCAATTCTCAATCTTTCATCAATAAAGAGTTCACTTGATGTACCAAATGCTTTTTCGCCATCACTATACATCAACTGCATGAAAAAGTAAGAGGGAATCTCAGAAGTCTAAATTTCTAAAAATGAGACCACCAGAATACTTTGGGAGCCAGCCAGCAACCTGGAAATTCTCTTTTCCAAGTGAAATGAAACCATTGGAAAGGACTCTTCTATTTCTCAAATGTGAAACACCGAGCATCTCTCCATTCTTAATAACCTGAAAAGAAATCCCATCAGTCGCTTCAACAGTTTATAAAATAACTCATATCCCACGCTTATCTAAATCTAGTCATAGTCAACTAGTAGCTCATGTATCACAAAGAACATTGGATAAGGAGGCAACCAACCACTCACAGTTGTGTGCCGAATGCCAGTTGATTTTCCAAGTAATTCATGCTCCTTCAGGAACAAAAGTTCTCCGTGTATGGGTAGAAAATGTTGTGGCTTCACAATTCTAAGTACTTCCTCCTGCAGAAATATATGTCATCTTCAGTACTAATAAGCCACATCAAAGACAAACCATACACAGGGCGACAGGTATACATATCAAAAAAGAAAAATCTTATGCATAGTTATCTTAAAATCCATGACATTTTGTTAAAACAAAGTAAAAAAAGTAGAAAAAAATTTGAACAATTTGAAATGCAGATGTAAATTATTTTTAAATTCTGGGATATTCTTCATTTTTTTTTTGTACCAAAACCATTATTTAATGATGTTGCATAATGCAATCAAAAGCTTACCAATTCTCCACGATATCCATGACCAGATGTGTGTAGACATTCATTCTTCCCCATAACTATAGTTGATCCAATCTCTGATACGCGGTTTAGCATTTCCATAACACGAGACTCATTACCAGGGATAACCTGATGGTGATATAAAAAGCAAAGGACAAATTAACAACACATTATTTTTAGATAGGAAATTTCAGAGCTATCTTTGTTCTTCACGCTGGAAAAAAAATCAGAAACTAACCCAAGCAGCAGGGCATGTGGAAAAATCAGAAATTGTTACTATAATGGATTAAAACTTAAAAGTAAAAAAGTAAATTGTAGGTTCATGTAATGGTGTTGGTTCATTAGTAAAAGGTTCATGCAGTGTATTGGTTCATCAGAAAATAATAATTTTTCTTGGCCAGCTTTCTAAGATAAGTTTAAAAATAATTATATTATTTATCAGAATCTACGCATTCATAAACAGACCTCTAGTTATACCAGACATGCATTAGATAAATCAAAAGGTAAAATACCTAATGCAGGTATTATACCTTTGCTGAATACAGCACAATATCCTCTTTTGTAAGCTTGAAAGCATGACTACTTCCATAAGATGCAAGATTTAAGGCAGCACGTGGTTCTGCCTGACACAATAGCATATATTTGGTCAAATGTCATAAACTTGAGAAAGTCAATGGAACTTTTAAAGAGACTTAAAAGGTACTTACTTGAGAGCCAGTTGTAACAATTAGCAAATCCTTTGGTGCATAAGCATCAATATCCTCCGCTTTCACCTTTGTAGAATTAGACATAAATAATAGCAGGTAACATACATGCGACTTGAAGAAGATCTTATAGGTACTAAGCTAAATATTATCTCAAAATTTTAATAAATATATTAAGATAGAAATGAGTCAAAGAGTCACTTAACCTAAAAGTTCAGGTTGGCTAGGTATAACTAGGTTGCAGATAAAATAAAAACTAAGTGCAGGTGCAGTTGTACAATGGAAGGCCAACAAGGTCCAAGAGAAAACAAAGCAAAATTCATAACTGGCTGCGTACTTGCAAATTGCAATGATTTCCTCTAACAACATAATTGATAATACAATACCAGCTGATTAGCACTAGACTTCTCCAACCTCCAGTTTCCATCAGCTACTCACTAAGTCTTATCTTAACATTACTTTATGAAAAAAGAAGGTATAGAAAACAAGTTCAACTATCAAATACAATGAAATGGATAAATTAGGCAGAATAACAAAGAAATCGCTGACTGTTTATTACCAGAGTTGATGGATCAATTGGAGCCTTCCCATCCTTCCAAGCTGCATCTAAATATGTTCTTAGCGACATGCCAACAAATACCTGATAGTATAAAGATAAAATTATAATGCTAACACATGTTGATCAATTCTATGAGCTTGCAATAACAAAGAACATACCAACTTTCTTCCAGTTAAATCAGCAGCAGCTTTCACACTTCCAAGACGATGTATATTTGATGCAAACTGGGTTGTTATAACACGTCCTTTAGCAGCTGAAATATTCCTCAATAATGCATCTGCAACAACAGATTCACTAATTGTCCTTCCAGGTGAGAGTACATTTGTTGAATCACTCATCATCTGAAAAGAAACACCCAAAGCACCATTTGCTTCCATCCTTTGTCAATATTCAATAAAAGAGGAAAGGCTATGTATATATTGTCATAACCCGGGACACAGTCAAAAAAATAACAAACAGACACAATTTAGCATGCATGTTCAACCGACAACAAATTGCAGAGCACATCCATGGGCATAAATAAAGATAAAAACTAACTGTAGTCAAAGAAGATAACATGTACTATCCACATGGCAGCAATGAACCCTAATCACAACAAATAAGTGACTCTATTTACCCAACCCTCCCCTTCCACAGTTCCACTACAAAATATCCCCGAGAAATCCTTGTCAGGTCAGGTAAAGCCCAGATTTAGATAAAGCCACTTACAAACATAGTTGAATAAAATAATTTAACTTCTGGTTGAAGCAGCATAACTGGCATCCTTGAAAACAATTAAAATCTGTCTAAGTGAGTTACCATAAAGACTAAGACTTGAAACTTCAAAAAAGCAGAATGATGTTACCCTTTTGGAAAATCTATCAGCACAAGACAGATCATGCGAACCATATTCACCATGAAAGGACTATTTATGTACCACAGAAACATCATAAACTTAAAGATACAGGTGGCTCACCAACGTGACTCCTTCTTTAGAGAGTTCCTCTAGAGCTTCACGATCAAAAACTTTACCATCTAATGGTGTTTCATCAATCTGTTGAATCAACTTGCTCAGCATGAGGAGATTCAAGGCAGAAGAAATGGTCGAGGCATTTAAAAATAAAGTAAAATATTGACCTTCCAATCCCCAGTGTGAAGAATGGTACCATCAGAACATCGGAGCACTAGGCCACTGCAATCAGGAATAGAGTGAGTCACTGTGATAGGCTCTATCTCAAATGGCCCAGCCATAAACTTCTTCCTCGTTCTAAAAACTTTCAGCCGGGATGGAACAAAAATACCATGATCCTTCAAACGTTTCCTTATAAGCTGTTAAGAAGAAAAAGGTTTCACCTCTGAATTGTAATGGATAAGATAAGAAATGCAAAGAACAATAGACTTAGACAACTAAACTGAGCCACAATTTTTGTTAAGAAATATTAATATGGTGGCACAAAATTAAGAGTTCAAGAACTAGTCAGTCAACTTCGAGTTCAAAATATGTTAAATCTAAAATCCTCCTATCAACTTTAATGGAACATTACTGTTGATTCATACGACAAAACAAATGAAAAGCAGCATGTTACCAACAAAGTAATAAGACTATAAAAGACTTTTTCTTACCTCCATTGTAAAGGATGAAGCAAAAATTGGTGTATGAGAATCTAATGCTGGTATGACCTGAGGGACCAAGTCAAAGTTAAATCAACCGCACATGTAAGTCATGTAAGGAAATGACAAAATGCATCCTTTTAAAATAAATTATAGAATATCGAATTAGATTAAATGCTAGAGAATAAAATAGAGTACTAGAAAATAGAAAGTAAAATCAAAATAATTTTATATTAAAAAATAACTCATTAGATTTAGAAAAAATAAAAGAAATGGACAACCGAAACAATCCCATTCCACAAAAGAATTGTAAATATACTGTTTTAAATTGCTGTCAGTCTTAGGAGCAAGGAAATATAGGCACACAACACTTGGCAAAAAAAAAAGTACGCTCACAATTACATTAGTAATTAGAAATGCTTCAAAGTTTGTAAAAGAGTACACTACAAATAGTCAGTAGATGTATCTATGAGCCTTAGTTATTCCTTAAATCTGCTACAAAGCCACTGATTTGAGAACTAATTTATCAAATGGTGGTATGTCTTCTTGAGGCCCATTGCATTACCTTCTAATTGTCATAGCATAGCAGCAAAGGCATCAGATATGGATTCATTCATTAAACTAAGGATGCTTCTTCAAGTTCAGCCTCAGTCTATTATTGCAGAATGGATCAAACATGGGGGCACTATATCTCATTACAGATATGCAAACAGATAAATTGGAATCTATCAAAAAGAACTAGTTGACAAAAGAGTATTTTTTGAACCAGCAGTTCTTAGAGAAGAAAGCAATACCCAAGGCAATGCACCAATATGATCTTCATGACCATGTGTTATAATAACTGCTTCAATTTTGTGTCTCCATTTTCTTATAAACGTTGTATCAGGTATGATCTTCTGGACCCCAAGCTCATCATAGCTGAAATATGCAATCCATGTGTTCATATATAAAGAAAAGTAAATTAGAGCAAACACCAATTGTGGAGTGGCAATTTGGTTATGACGATTACAAGATATTTAAAGTTTTAAATGAGTTCATATAGAACAATTATTTGTTCTCAACTTTAGGATCCAATGCCAACTTTAGTTAGTATTTACATTTTGAAGTTTTTCATATGAAAATGTCATGCAACAGTTCAAACTTATTCAATTGGCTAAGTATCCTCTTCTCTTCTTGTCCCATAAATACGCAGAGAAGTGGATGGTACTGGAGTTGTAAGACATACTCTGGAAACATAACACCAGCATCAATGAGGATATAGCGATCATAGTTGCCAACAAGCATGCAATTCATCCCAATTTCACCCAACCCACCAATGGGAAGAACTCTGAGGGGTGGCCCATCCCGTCCTTCATAAAATTCCTCCATCTTGCGTTGAACAGAATCTTCCATGCTTTTTCTGGGACCTTCTATCCTTCTCGATCTTTTACGCAGTACTTTAGGTCCATCAGTATCTACACAAAACAAGCAGTATAAACAAAACTATATCAAAGAAGAATAAATAGCCATGCATAGGATCAAAATTACAGCTAAAACAAATGAACAACAAATTAAAATATTCGCTATATAGTGGCAGGAAGAGAAATGAAACAAAACTATAATTTAATATCTGTCTGGATAAACTTATCTATTTAAACACTGTTTTTGAGAGGAAGAAAATAAATGTTATATAAGCACATTTAGGAAAGGTAATATATATATATATATATATATATATATATATATATATATATATATATATATATATATATATCGATTATCCATAAGCTAAAATTAGCACGTGCTTAAACTATGCGTAAACTATGAAACTTCGCAGATACAAGTGTTTTTAAAAAATAATGTATAGCTTATAAGAGAAACTTGTTTCAATTTTCATTTTTTCTTCATCAGGAGGTAGTTATACAAAAATTTATCTCAACAAATGCTTTAAATCAAATATAGTCAGAGTGATGGCTACAGTGTTACTCATTTAAGCCAAACACAATTCCTAGCCAAAACCATTTTCAAATGTGGCAGTGGTGTCTTGGATGCTTCATTTCAAACATTACAAATCCTAGCTAAAATCAAGCTATGTGACGAGGAACATCAACTCACTTATAAACACGAAATATTCCACTCCATTAGGTGAAACCTTAATTGAAAAAACTCGACAGAAGCGCATCCATATAAGAAAAAGAAGGATTACCGGGGAGGGAAGAAGAGGAAAGAGAGCAAGAAAGGGAGCTGCGCGTAAGGTGAGGGCGGTGGCGGCAACAGAAGGTGTGAGGACAAAGAGAAAGAGAAGTGCAAGAGGCCATTCTGAAAAAAAGGATAAGAAGAGAGAGTGCAGAATTGATAGCTTAAAACCCTAATAATGCAAAGTTCAGAGGGTTTTGCAAGGAGCTGTTTCTGCTTTTTCTCTTACTCGAGTGTTGGAAGCGGGAAAGAGATGCATCCTTACTCTATGACTCTAATCAGGTGCTTGTATTCGGAAATATCTTTCTTATCGCTATGTTTTTTTTTTTTTTTTTCTCCCGTAGCTTAGCGACACAGTTCGAGTTTATCTTAAAACAAAATATATTTAGGACCACACGTGTGGCACGGCGTCAAGGTAAATAATGTGTTTTCACCTTATTTTTAACCTAGTTTTTCTTTTAAATAAAATAAAATTAATGATAATCGACTAAATAGTAAATATCATTTTTTTAATCAGATCGAATCAACTAAGAATCAATATAAGAACCAGATATTTTTTATTTTAATTAAATTGATATAAAATTATAAAAATAGATGAAATGTTTCAAACCCATTTTAAAAAAAATAAACAAAGTTAATATATTTTTTAATTTGATCAATTTTAAATAAAAATTATTTTATTATGTTTTATTTTATTCTAATTATTATCTATATTATTTTTAATAATAATAATAATATTATTAAAAATTTATTATATTATACAAATATTATTTATTAAATTTAATTAGACCGATTAAACTTTTAAATTTTAAATTTATATGTATAAATTTGGTTTTAAAATAATAATAATTACATTCATACCACATTTCGTTTTAGTTTTGTTAATATTAAAACATTAAATGATAATAATTTATATTTCACGTCGTTCTAGTTTTGTTAATAATAGAAGAGTAAATTAACATGAATCAAATAAATAAACTTTTATTTTTTTATATGTAAATGAAAATTGATTAAAGAAGTAATAGTAATTTTAAAAAGGATGTACTTTTAGATAAATAAAAAGACAAACATTTAGTTAATTTGTCACTGTAACTTAACATTTAAGTTGATAATAGTTTCTTTTTTATTAAAAAAATGAATAAGATTAAGTTAATGTGACTAAAAGATACTATTTTTTATATATAAAAACATTTATTTATTTATTATTATTATTATTATTATTTTAATTTTTAAACAACCAAAATAGTGTTATTTATTCGGAAGAAATTGTCTCATCATAATTAATATATTATGAATATTTAAAATAAATTCATACAATAATATATAGATTGAGTAAATTATTTTAAACTTGTAGAATATTAATAGAATTGACTAACCATATTTTAAATAACAAATATAAATAATATATATTTTTATTACTTCTTACTTTATAAGATGATACATTTCAAATCTATACAAATATTAAAGTTAAATATATAAGATCAATAATAATAAGAATTATTTATTAAAATGTTTAAATAAATTATTAATTGATTTAAAATAATATATTATAAAAACTATTTAAATTTTGTTACAATTGCTTTATCAAATAACTTAAAAAATAAATGAAAATACAATAAAATAAAATGTTTTTTATAAAATTATTAAAAAAAATTAATATAATAAAATTAATAAGTAATTATGTAAATAATAATATAATATCATAAATTTTTATTTTATATATTTGTTTAGAAATAATAGATGAGTTACTATTATTAGAAATATCTAATCTTTTTAATATTTTATAACTCTACTTGTTTTTTTATTGTATCATAAATTAGAATCTATTAATATTAAATTTGGCATGAGATGTAGAAGGGTTAAAATCCTAAGTTGATTTTTAATATGTTTATCCAATAATAAAAATTTAAAATAGTTTGTTGAGTACTATCTCCTGTAAAGGACGTTCCAGTAATTTTGTGAGAAAAATAAAGCTATTTCCACCTATTCAGTTTCACCAACAATTTATTAAGATTCCAATTCATTTTTTATAAAATAATTTGATAGTTAACTAATAATAGGTATTTATATTAATAAATAACTCATTAAATTATATTTATTTATTTTTATCTGTAGGCAAATACTGAGAACTGTCTGTCACACAAAAGATCGATTTTTAATCTCAAATTTTCATGTTATTTCATTATTCATATAAAAACTGTGACAAAGAACCCACTTGTAAAATTGAAGTTGTTATATTCCCTTCTAAATCAAAACGATTTTCTTAAAATCCAAAATATGTTAATATTATAATTGGTACAAAGGATATCTCTTGGTATATATATATATATATATATATATATATATATATATATATATATATATATATATATATATATAAGTTTGAATAAAAATTTTAAAATAATATATTTAAAACAAAAATTATTTAAATTTAAAATTTGTAAGTTTATTTATTTAAATAATAAAAAAATAAAGTTATCTTATTTAATACAAATATTTTATTTTTTTCTTTTTTCTCTCTTTTCGTTTATTTCTTATTATTCCTTTTTCTTTATCATAATAGTTTTTTTTCTCTTATCATTCATATTGTCCTTCTAATTATAAAAATATAAAATTAAAATTTGATAAAATAAATATTATTATTTAAAAAAATATATTTAGATCATTTAAAAAATTTAACTCAATATATTATGTTATATTATATTATAAATTTAAGATATTACAAATTGTTATATTATAATTGTTATAAAATATATTTATTTATTTTAAAGTAATTTTTATTAAATATTTTTATTAAATTATTTATTATAATCAATTTGTATAACTCAATCTAATTATAATTATGTTAAATCATTAAATAAAAAATATATTTTATTCATAAATATTTATTATATTTTAATTAGACGAAAAATTAATTTATTGTGATAAAATAATTTTAAATTAATTATTTATGTTATCATAAATAAAAGTATTTATTGTTATAATAAATAAAATTATTTATTTTTATCATAATTTAAAATAATTAGTTGATGTTTTTGTAGTTTTAATATTGATTTAAAAAAATATTATATATATATATATATATTATTTAAGAGAAATGATATGTAATATCTTAATAATTATAACATAATAATTTGTAATATTTCAAATTTATAATATACTATTTTTTTAAAATATAATATATAATATTTTTAGATAATTTAAATATTTTTTTTAAATATATGAAAAATTTATGTTATTAAATTTTAATTTAATATTTTTAATTAGAAGAATAAGATAAGTAAAGGGAGAGAGAAAAATTAAAACAAGGATAGAGAAAAAAAAATAACAAGTAAATGAATATTGAAAAAAAGTAAAAGAATAAATGGGAAAAAAATAATTGTATTAGAGAAATTTATTTTCTATTACTGAATTTTGTGTATGAAAAATAAATATGTTTAATTGGAAAAATAAAGTTATAGAAAGATTTTATTTAAATAATTTTTTTTGTTTAAAATTTATTATTTTAGAAATTGATTTTATAAATTTTTGAGGTTATAGTTTTGTTGATTCTGAAGTTATTTTTATTCTGGTTTATAATTTTAAAATATATTGTGAGATATAAGAGTCACTATTTATTTTTATTTTTTGCATTCAAAATATTTCTATCAGGTAAAATACCTAGACATTAGTATCTAACACTCACTTTTCTATAAATTAAAAAAAAAAAAATCTTATTAGCTTTTCAATAAAAAAATGAATATATTTAAAATTTGTATTTGATTAAATTGTAATAAGAATATTGTTTTTTCCATTTATTTTCTATTATAAAAAATAATTATAAATTTTCTTAATTTTTGTTTCTTTTATCACTTTGTCTAATAACATACGAGAAAATGAGAGAATAGTTAAATGGAAAAATGTTTGATGAAAAAATAATTAGAAAGTTAACAAATATGAGTAACAATGACCTTAAAAGCTAACTAAACAATTTAGGTTTTAGATTTAAAGTTTATACAAACTCTAAAAAATTGGTTTTTATTGGTGTAATCTACAAATTTGGTTCAAAATTGATAAACACTATTTATGTTTTATGGGTATTCATATTTCATGCCTCACTCAGTCTTTTAATAATTCGTATAATTATTATTTTTTTAAATTATAAAATATTTTATAAAAAACTATATAATATGATTAAGTGAATATCATATGCCAGTAAAGAAATATAAATAATTAAAATATCTCTTCATTAAATTTTAAATTTTATTATATAATGCATTTTCTTGTTTTAAATGTTAAAGTCTATACTCAACATAGATATGGACTTCTAAATTTATAAAATAATATTTTAACGAGTGTACATTTTTTAAAGAAAAATATAATTTCATTATCATAAATTTTTATTTTATATATTATTAATATCTGCAATATTAAAGATGATAAATATTTTAGTTATTAAATTAACTAATTATTTAAAAATATAAAAACTGTAACTTTATGCTTAAGTTTAAACTTATAAAAACTATCTAAAGATAGTTAAATATAATTCCAATGTATATATAATTTTAGTAAACTTTACTTTTGATTCATATTAATTAAAAAATGTAAGATTTTTTTATTACATTTACTTATTTGGAGAAATGTTAAATCTATAATTTTCATATATATTATATAGCTTTATTGAAATTTAAAATCACAGGAAAAATATCATTGTAGTAATAAGGAAGATTTTAGTGAATACAACTTTAACATATATATATATATATATATATATATATATATATATATATATATATATATATATATATATATATATATATATATATATATATATAACTGTGGAATTCATATTAATTTTAAAAACTAACGTGGTTAAGTTATTTATTTGGATGACTGATTTATAGTTGTTTTAAAAACACGTCTTACAGTCAAAATCACATCATTAAAACTTACAAAGAAAGTCAAATGCTACTATAATTTATATAAACTACTGTTTATAATGCTAAAATAATGTTCAAATTCATTATATATTTAAAAATTGTTAAATATTTAAAGTGATAACTTTTAATTAATAGCATAAATTCATATATTTATATTTCATAGTATAACTTTTAAAATTAACCATAAAATAACGAAATTAACTCAAAAATTTTAACTATAATCATCATTAATATTTACATTTCAATACTATTTTTGTTAATACGTTATTTCTCTGCTTTTCTGTTAACTAATATTATAATCTTAATATATGAGGCATGAAAATGATGAAAAACAATGCTTTGATATTATCCAACTCATTCTGTTTGTGCAAGCATTTAAGCAACACAGAAACACTGCAAAACTATTGGCTGTGCCAAAAGAACCAAATCTCAGGGATTAATTTAAAAAGTTATCACCATCTTCATTATCACTTCTGAAACTGCATTTGTCTTTTTCAAGTATTATCACCCATCATCATTCAATTTTTACAAATTAATTAATTACAAATTAAATACTTAAAAGTGTTTTCTCTCATAATATCTGAAGGAAGCTGCAGCAGAGGGAGAGAGATCTGCAATGGCTATGGGAGAGGGAGAGGCAGTGGTGGCATGCAGTGACCAGAGCATGAAAATAGGGGCGTCGATGTGGGACTTGGAAACGGGAGAAAAACTGCTTCATATTCCATCCTGTGCCTCGCCACCTTTGGGCTTCTTGTGCCTCAGAAACCGCTTCCTCGTGGCTTCACAGGTGAACAGACACGGCTCTGTTGGCGATGGAACCATTGCAGTTTGGTCCCTCAACAAGGTAAGGTTGTTACGGTCCTCATCAAACTCAAACTCTTTCTCCCTTACGACGCCTTATATTTTGATTTTGATATTCTGGATATATTGTTGTCCGAAATTCATGTTTTCCTTTTCCATTGTTGGCTTGTCCAGAGTTCTGAGAACTCTGCTACTGCTATTTTAAACTGTAGATTGGATTGAGAAGATGAAATTCTTACAAAAAAAATATATATATATATATATATATATATTAAAAATAATTTTGTAAAAAGAATAAAGGTAAAATTTTTAATTTTTCATTTGTTAATTAAAATACAAAAAATGAAATTTTATTTTTGGCAAGAAATGTTCACGGTAAAAATCAATATAAACTATCAATTTAAAACTTTATTTAATTAAAAATTATTAAAAATATAATTGTATCTAAGTTTTCTCCATTTATTTTTGGTCAATCAATAAGTGACTAATTCCGGTTGAAGGAGTGTCAGCATAATTTTTTAGATACACATACACTCTCTCTTTCATTGGTTATAAATTATTTTATTTATTAATTTTATTATAATTTATTGACTATCATAAATCATTAAATAAAAAGTGAGTTCCAAAATTTTTTCTAATTTCCCATAAATTTTAACTATATAAAAAAGTTTATTTAACAAAGTGTATCAGAGAATATTTAACAAAGTCTATATTAGGTAGACAGATATGTTAAATTTTGTTTTCCATAAATTCTTTATTTAGTTTTAAAATAGATGTTAAAGTGATGAAAGTAAGTTTCTTAAATATTTGTTATTTATTTGTCAAATCAAATAATGAAATGAATATTTTGTTTCAACATCATTTAGATGGAGTAACTTAATTTTGAGAAAAAGTTTAAATGTATGAACTTATCTACAATCAATAAAAGTAACAATTTTAAAAACATATATAGATATTTGTCGTATTCTTAGATTTTTTTAAATTTTTTTTGTGATTTTTAAGACAAGACATGGAAATAAGAACAAGACCTAGAAGTAGGTGATGTTTTTAGTGTTATTTTTATGATCAAAATTGGAGTTACATCTTAGCAAATCATGGCATGAAGAATTGTATCAAAGGTGATATAGATGATTGGAGTGAAAACGATATACCAAAATCATCTATAAAACAACACATGCAAGTTTCCTCACATTCTAAATGAAAATGGTATAGTTTTGAATAAAATTTTTCATAATGTCACGACTGTCAAGGGAAATTAATAATTTCATCAAGTTTCTTATTATCTTACGTTTATGCTATGTTTTGACGTTCTAGCCTCAACATCCACTGTTGAACTACACGGTGGAGGCTATTGGGGCACTTTCTTGTACGAATGATGGCATATATCTTGTTGGAGGAGCTTTGTCTGGAAATGCTTATCTATGGGATGTATGTGAACACAGTAAAAGCTTATTTCCTTAATTATGTGAGATTTAGTTGAATACTTGTTTCGGCAAGACCCTGATATGTTTATTGTGAAGTACAGGTGATTAGTGGAAAATTGCTGAAGACTTGGAAGGCTCATAACAAATCCTTAAACTGCATGTTATTTTCACATGACAATTCTCTTCTCATTTCTAGTTCAGATGATGGAATGATATGTGTTTGGTCCATGATTAGGTAAAAGACTAAATTTGCTTTTCATAGACAACATTTTAATTCAATAGATATTAGACACACATATATGTATGACGTAATATATATGTTTGATTTGATGAAAGTTTGTTAGACATAGAAGAAACAAGAAATTCGCCACCTCCATTACATTGTTTGTCAGAACATGTGTCCTCCATAACAGGTCTTTTAACTACACCAAGTAGTTACTCCTCATGCTTAATATCAAGCTCCCTTGACGGCACATGCAAGGTGATGATGAATCTATAATTAAACTCCTACTTCTACAAACTATTAGATTTTCATGAGATTGCTTTATATTAATATGATAGTTTTCATTTGTTATAGGTTTGGGATTTTCTCTCAGGAAAGCATATTCAAACTCAAGTTTATCCTTTGGCCATAACTTCCATTGCCCTTCACCAAAGTGAAAGTCTTTTATTTTGCGGAACGGAAAAAGCAACAATATTTGTCAACAACCTTGATTTTGGTCGGGGCGAAGGTCCTTTTGTTGTTACTGAAGGCCAACCACTTGAATTGAAAGGACACAAGTAAGACACATATATATATATACACTTGAATTGAAAGTTTCTCACTTTGCATTATTTTCTGAGGATATAACTTCATTACAATTGATGTAATAATTTCCCCAATATGTAAATTTCAAGATATTTATTTACTAATGCTTGTTTTAAAACCAACCCATTTAATAGTAAAAAAACCTCTTTTTTACTTGTCAAGTTTCCATCTTAGCTTTCAAGCAAACTTTTAGTCATGCTCACATAATGTGGTTGTTGAATATAATTAGCTGATAAATTTGTCAACTGTGTAGTGGAGCCATTACTGCCTTAACCGTATCTCGGTCATGCCTAATATCTGCCTCTGAAGATTGCTCGATTTGCGTTTGGGATATCTTCAGTTGGGAAATCCTTCGAAGGTTTAGTCTCCAAAAAGGTAATAACCAACCTAATATTCCTTAATAATGATGATCAATGTTTCAAAGCCAAGTTACAGATTCATACATTAAGTTGATGGTTTCATTAACAACAGGGAAAGTAACCAATCTTGTGGTAGTTTCACGATCCTCGTTACTCTCTACATCAAAAAACAGGAGAGCCTCCAATGAATATGTTATTTCTCCGCTTGACAAGTATCCGCAATTGTCTAGCTCATTCATGGGAACTACCTTTCTCAATTCCTTATGTCCACTCAACAAAGAAAATCAAACTTGCAGTGATTTGAGAAGTACTGGCTTATTGAAACAGAAAATTTCTGATACACAGGTTCTTTTCCTTTTTCCTAAACAGTTTCCATTCACTAAAACAAAGAATATAATTGTTTCATATGATGCATGTCAGTGTAACCTACATGTAACATTTATATTTTTTAAACTTACACATGAATAAATAATAACCAGCCAAAATGAGTTGATCCCTTTTAATTCACCTGACCAAAAGAAAACCAGATTTCTTGTCATTGTATATTTGTATAATTAGAGATGTAGAAACTCAGACAAGATATTACTGTAATTTGTGTTTGGACTTATATGTATGTTCTCAACAAATGTATAGGTGTTGTTTTTCATTGTTATTTCTTTTGGGCAGAAAGATGTACCTACAGTCACAACCATGCAGATGAAAGTGGAAACAAGTATAGAGAGTCGTGTATGGGCAACAAACATGACAAAGCATGTCATGGTGATAAACAAACAATTGAAGTCACAACTATTAGACTTGATGCAACATAGATTGTTTCGTGCAAACAACACCAACTTGCGAAAAAATAGTAGAAAGAAACTCAAAATTTAGTATTTGGTGGATGAAGAGAGAAATCAAAGACCCATAACCGAATTATGTTCAAGTCAATTGTATTTTTTGTTTTTGCATATATAACCTTAAGATCTTTATCTCCAAATTAGACAAGTAATTTTTTGCTTTAGATTACATATATATATATTCAAAGTGTGTTTTGGCAGTCATTTTTGGGCCTTTTGTTACCTAATTTTGTTTCTATTCGAAGTTATAATTATTGTGCTTACTTTGTAGTTAAATTCATACTAAGAGTCATGGTTGACAAAATATGATTTCATATGTCTATGAATTTTGAGAGACATTTTTAAGTGAGAACCTCATAATTAACCAAATTAAACAAGAAGAGCACCAACTATACAACAAATGGCCTATCAACTTCAAAGGGTAGACGTTGTAAATACATGGATTTTTAGCATAAAAGGTTGGCAATTGGCATCCAGTCTGTGCTCGGAGCTGTCTCCCACTCTTCCAAACCAAGATTCAGAAATGGAAAATGGATCCAAACACAAATAACAAAATTTATATATAGAACAATTTTAGTGGATTATTTTTTTATATATATAGAACAATTGTTTAATATTTTTATTTTTTTCTTCAGACCTCATTTTGTATTGCGATATGAATCACAAAAGGGTAATTTAGGATCTTTAGGGTTAAAAACCTTGTAAGAAATTTAGCAATTAGAAAGAAGGTGGAAGGAAAGAATCACTCTTCCCAAGGAGACAATACACAAAGGATGTGACAGTCCTTTGATACAGCCAAGGGTTCTTGAATCACTCAAGAATTGAGGAGAATCACTCTCAATAAGATAAAAGAGATAAACTCTAATATTTCTGAATAAAATTTCACTTGTTATTTCTTGATAAAAATGATTCAGCTGATATAGAAGTGTTGTCATCAGAATTACAAAAGACTCAATAAAAGAAAATAAATATTAATAATAACCCATTAATCTAGGAATTGAAAATTATTTAATGGAAACAAATAAAGGTTAATAATGATCCATTAAGCTAGGAATTGAAACTACTTAATGAATGATTGTATTCGAAACTGTAGCAACCAAAAGTCAATCAGCTATGCACCCTTGGTCTCCCAAAGGTCGATGACTAAATTTTCAATTGGGCCTTTATTACATCTTAAAACAAAATCAAACTAAAGTCCATTAATTGATTAATTCAAAACATAATTTGGTCAACCAACAATATTTGTTGAAAAGCTTCATTTATTTTCCTTGCTCTAGCACTTAGGTCATGTTCACATCAAGAAAATTTATTACATATTTTTAATTAAAAATTTAGAATCATTACTAAATTCTTTCCTTTATTTATAGAATTGGATTAGTATCATGAAATTAATATAAATAAAATAAAAAAACACTTACTTTTTGGGTGTATTACGATTTCAAATTATGAAATTTACTTCATTTTTATAAAAGTGATTTTTATGAACATATGGTTTATATATATATATATATATATATATATATATATATATATATATATATATATATATATATATATATATATATATATATATGAGAAAGTAATACGATTTCTTATTGTAGTACTTTTTTATTGAGACCATGATATGGTTCAATATTTTAAAATAATATTGTATCTAATATAAATTATCTATTATAAATATAAAATATAATTTATATCTTATATCTTAAGAATATGTATTACAATTTTTAATTATATTATTTACATATTTAAAAATATTTATTATAAAATTGAGTTATATTAAAAAATAGAATTAACTGATTTTTCCATCTTATTCATAAATTTAAATAAATTTTTATTTGTTTTAATCCATTCTTATGTTAGGACAACAAAGATAATTTTTGTTTGGTTGACAATTAAAAAAAATATTAACATCCTATATCAAAATAATTAATTAAAATAATATTTAAAATATAATTATTTAATATAAATTATAAGAGAATTAATAGATTTAGTTCTAAGATAAGAATTAAAAACTTATTTTTTATTATAATTATTTATTTTTTTAGTAATTTATTAATATAAAATAATCATTCATTTTATCAATTACATATAAAAGATTTATTTTTATATTAGTTTTTAAAACAAATTTTCTTTTTATCAAATTAATTTATGATATATATATATATATATATTTAATAAATATATATATATATATATATTTTTTTTTAAATAATTATTATCTTATAAAATAAATAATCTTATAATACTAATTTAATCTAAATATATATAGGTTAGATAATTTTTTTTCTTAACTTAATTTATTTTTAAATTTTTTTATTAACATACTAAACTTATTTTGATATCTATTAAAAAATATTTATTTTGTAAAAATATATAATCAATTATATAAAATTATAATAAATAAAAATTTCATAAAGATGGGTATAGATATATAAAGCATATTTTAATTATATAAAAATGATTTAAAAATATATTTTTTTAATTATTAAATTTTGTAAGTACTTATAATTATTAATAAATATTATGAAATAAAATATGATATAATAATTTTATTTGTTTATATACAATTTACAGCATATCTATAAATAACTTATAATAACTTATACTAAATTCTTACAAGTTTTGTTTTAATGATAATTTTTATAAATATTCATATGTTTATAATATTTTTATTTATATTTCACCTTTTTTTACAACTTTAAATAATTTAATTATTATAATTATAAAAAAATAATTAAAAATTTCACACATTTATTTTTATAAAAATATTGTTTATTAAAAATAAAAAATTGCATATTTGAAAAAATGATAAAATTTATAAATAAAAACTATAAATTATTTACAATAATAAATATATTCAAATTTTTATTATTTTAATAAATGAAATATTGTCATATATGTTTTACTAAGTCATAAAAAACTCTAATTATAATAAAAATAAATAAATTCACATTTATAAACAAATATATATTATTTTTACATATACTATTTTTAATATTTTATAATATAAATTTTTATAAAAAATAAAACTTTAATATAGTTTTTAAAATATTAGATACTATGAATATTTAAATAAACGTTTTTTCTATTTTAAAATTTTAAAAATAAGGAGATAATAATAATAAAATAATTAACTAATTGATTTTTTAGATCATAAAAAATTGTAAAATAAAATTTTAAAAAATAATTTTTAATTGATGAGAATATTTGGACAAAAAATTTTCTGTAAAATAATTAATTTTTCATTTTAAACAACGATTACTAAAATATAAGAGAGGTAGATATGTTGGATGTTATGTTATATACTTTTAATTTAAATTTTATAAATTTATGTGTTAATATATTTATTAATATTATTTTATATATTATATTGTTATATTAAAAAAAAAAATTAAATATTATTAAAATCAGTTAAAACCTAATTAAATATCTGAAACTTAAATCGATACATTGACCAATAAATATGGTTAGTTATTAGTGACAAATTTTCTTAACCTATTTATTAATTTAACCTTACAAACAAGGTCTGAATAAAGCTGTGAGCCTGTCTGTGTCACTTGAAACCCTTCCTTGGGTGAATAACGCCGCTGAAACTAACTTCATTTGTACACTCTCTCATTCGTTCTGAACTCGTGTTGTGCACCAATGGCTCAGTTGCAAGTTTCTTCTCCTGCTTCTTCAATCCATGCAGCTATTCCTTCACTACATACAACAGGTGCCCTTTTTGTGATTCTCTTTCTTTTTGAGTTCCAACTTCTGCATCGCTCTCTTTGCTTAATATGTTACCCCCCCCACTTTTAAATGCTAAGATAGTTTGGTTAGAGCAATTACCCATCATTCATTCTCATTGACATTGTAAAATTTCTTATGATGAGAGAGGATTTGCAGCACCGGAGGAGGGAAATCATTAATTCATTATGTATACTTAACAGTTCTCCTCATATTTGTTTCGTTAATCTCTATTTGCAGGGCGCCTCCTGTATAATCAATTTTGGAAGGCAAAGTCTTCGTCATTCAAAGAGGTGATTCTTAAAAGCTTAAACTTTAATGTTTACAAAGATATGCATTTGCCTAAATATTTGTGTTTTTGTGGGTGCTATGTTGGTCTTATTTTTGTACTTTGGATTTCTGTGTTGCATGTAGTTGGGGCTGAGAACAAGCGTTGGTGCCAATAAACTTCAAGGTGACATTATTTTGTCTCAACTTCAGCTCCATTTCCCACCTGGATGCAATATCTTTATTCACATGATTTATAAACTCTACTTATTAGAGCTTACCTAAGTGATTAATAAGCTCAAACAACGCCATATGGAGGGCTTGGGGACTGGCCTTACTGACTTCATATCACCAAATTGTATTCATAGTACTGAAATGTTCTACAGACGTCTGATGTCAACTCTGTAAGCAGGGTTGTTATTGGTGTTGAGATTTCAGGTTATGGGGTGGGTCATTCCATATGTTTTTGTGACTTCTTTCAAGACTGATTTGGGCAAGGTAACAGACAAGTTATGCCTAATTCACCTCTGGTTAGATATAAAAATATGGCCTTGTCTATAGTCTGTTGGAGAACTGAGTCCATCTAAGGGTGTTTTTATGCTGCAGTGGACTTTCTATTAGAAAACATTAGAAATTTATATTAATGTCCGAGGCAATCTACTATGTGCTCAATTAGCTTTGTGCTTTTTTTCCTATTGTTGATTAGGATAGCAGTGAAGGTCCTTTTCTGGTTTTGTATACCCAAGGGCGCATAACTTTGGGCTTTAAAGAACCACTTGTAATTACGTATTTGGGTCTTTTCTGGGCATGTCTTGTGCTAAAAATCAAAGGCCTATTCTTCAATAGTAAAATTCTTTTGCTTTTTAATAAAAGGAGCTTATGTAAGTTAGTTTTTCATCTTGGTTTAAGTTCTCTGTTAATCTTTGTACTGAACTGACTCAATAGTGTGAACACATTCCATTCTGAGTACTGGTGGATCTTTAAATTAAGCCAGCATCAGTCTTGAGTATCTTATTATTCTTTGTGATTGAATCTTTAATTAAGATCTTGTTCGTTGTTTACATGTTTTGAATTTTATTCTTCATCTGTTGGAATTGACTATTTGTTTTCACTTAAAATTATGTCATAATAGCAATAGACAAATAAGTTTCTGGAGGGTTATTTGTGGCTTCTTAGAATATGGATGGTTTGTATTGAAAACACATGAGGTCATTGGAGGCACCTTGATTTTGCTGCTTGAAATGCTGATTTGAAGCTATTTGATATTTAAATTTAGAATCTGTAATGATATTAAAAATTTATTGACATGCAGTTATTAAAGCAGCTGCTCGCAGTGAAACAGAGGTTGTTTCTGAAACTGTGAAAGGTGGTGGCCTACGTGGAAAACTGAATAAGGTGGTGCTGGCCTACAGTGGTGGATTAGACACATCAGTCATTGTTCCATGGCTCAGGTATAGATGTTGCTCATCCTTTTTTCCCATCTTTCTACTAGACTTCCGTTGCAAGTTTGCGATATTGGATTTTCTCTCTCCCTTTGTATTATATTCTGAAATCTAAATGACAAATACTCATGAATTTAAAGATCAAGTTGTTTTTATTACTGATTTTTCTTTAGAAAAGAATGTTTAAATTTTTCTTAGAATGTGTAAATAGAAATCAGAGATAATTTTTGAGATTGTATTGATGATTTGATGGTTTTTTAACTAAAAACTGCTGTAGTTTTTTTGTAAACCATGGGAGCTAAATTGGTGATTCTTATCCCTGTCAATTTACCTGTAACATTGTCTTCTTATTTTAATAATTTATTTAATGATTTTGGTGTTGCAGAGAGAATTATGGTTGTGAAGTCGTTTGCTTCACTGCTGATGTTGGCCAGGTATGTTGTGAGTTTTGTAATTTAATTTTGTAATGGAGATTTTTGTTGTGCAAATTGTGTTACTAGAAAAGATGTTTTAAGATTTTAAGCTTCTGACTTGGGGAATTGTTTTATCCGATTTCTTATTTACATGCTGCATTTGCATGTCATAACAAAACTAAATTTTATAGGGTATAAAAGAATTGGATGGTTTAGAACAGAAAGCCAAAGCCAGTGGGGCCTGTCAATTAGTGGTTAAAGACTTGAAGGAGGAATTTGTGAAAGATTATATATTTCCTTGCCTGCGTGCTGGTGCAGTTTATGAGAGGAAGTATTTGCTTGGGACCTCAATGGCTCGCCCTGTAATTGCGAAGGTACTTTTGCTCTAACTTTGGTATCTTCATCTTCTTTGGTAGTCATTTCTTCTGTTAGCTTTTAGTGAAGTGTTCACTCCCTTTGTAGTGAAGAAAAATCTTAGAGATGACAGTTCAATGCACTCATCTTCTTCTGTACATAAATATTGCTTAATACCTGCTGACTGATAGGCCATGGTCGAAGTTGCCAAAGAAGTTGGAGCTGATGCCGTTTCCCATGGGTGTACAGGGAAAGGAAATGATCAGGCATGTCTTACTATTTGGCCCACAACACTGAATCATGTCAATTATTTTATTCTAACACATTTCTACATAAACTTTTAGGTTCGTTTTGAGCTCACTTTCTTTGCTCTAAACCCCAAGCTAAATGTCGTGGCTCCATGGAGGGAGTGGGATATTACAGGGAGAGAGGATGCTATTGAGTATGCTAAAAAGCATAATATACCTGTTCCTGTGACAAAGAAATCCATATATAGCAGGGATAGGAATCTCTGGCACCTTAGCCATGAGGTATGCTGAAAAACTATTTGGAAATGAAATGTCATGTTGCTGTTTTCTGATATATGAAATCTGTGACATTGAAGGGAGATATTTTGGAAGACCCAGCTAATGAGCCCAAGAAGGACATGTACATGATGTCTGTAGACCCTGAGGATGCTCCTGATCAAGCAGAGTAAGCTTGTTTCTTGCTATTTCACTTTATATATAGCCTCCAAGTTACTTTTATACTTTACATCTTTGAAAGCACACATTACTTGTGTTACAGATATGTGGAAATTGGGATAGAATCAGGGCTTCCTGTATCAGTCAATGGGAAGAGACTTTCACCAGCATCATTACTTGCCGAACTCAATGAGATTGGTGGAAAGCATGGAGTTGGCAGGATTGACATGGTTGAGAATCGGCTTGTAGGCATGAAGAGCCGTGGAGTTTATGAAACTCCTGGAGGAACCATCTTGTTTGCTGCTGCACGTGAGTTGGAGTTTTTGACGCTTGATCGAGAAACAATACAAGTGAAAGATTCATTAGCTCTTAAATATGCAGAGTTAGTGTATGCTGGCAGATGGTTTGATCCACTTCGGGAGTCCATGGATGCCTTTATGCAGAAGATCACAGAGACTACAACTGGTTCTGTGACTTTGAAATTGTACAAAGGTTCTGTTACTGTGACCAGTCGTACGAGTCCCTTTAGCCTGTATAGGCAAGACATTTCTTCATTTGAGAGTGGGCAGATTTATGATCAAGCTGATGCTGCTGGCTTCATCCGGCTCTATGGTCTTCCAATGAGGGTTAGAGCAATGCTTGAGCAGGGCATCTAATTGTTAATTTCATTTCAACATGTACTTCTTTTCATTTTAGAAAATGTGGATTGAAGTTAGAGAGTACTGTGGATTGTTAGTATATCTCTAGAATCCTAATAAAATGAATAGTATTTAATATTCATCCTCACTTCAAATCAGGTATTAAAAAGTCTGTTTGGCTTGAGTATTGTTGTTATGAGTGGTGGTATTTGCAGTAACAGGAGTAATATAAAAGGAGACAAGTAATGTTTCTATTTATTGAACTCCGCAGGTACAAACATTAGATTGGATACTTCCAATTTGGTATAGCAACTTGTGAGAAGCCATTTTGCAAAGATGATTGTGTTAAATAGTTTTTATTTTAAATATTTTTGTTATTTATATCATAAAGTAAGCTGATTTTATTATTGATGAAAAAGGACGTGTGAGAAGGACAAAAGCACCAAAATGGTGGAATTTGTTTTGAAATTTCTTAAAATGAAATTAAAAAAAAATGGATAAGTAGTCTACAGCTTAAAAAAAATCGTTTTTTAAAATATGATTTAATTATTTTAATTCTAAAATCATATTTTAATGTGCAACTTTAATTTTTTACGTTATAACGTTTTTTTTTTGTTTTTAATAAAATCGTATTTATATAATAATAAAAATAAGAAATATAAATATAATAATAATAATAAATAATAAAATTAATAGTATTAATGATGATAAAAATTATATAATATTATAATTATATAAAGAATAAAAAAAAAGTTGTATATATAAATACCATTTCATAAAAAAAATTATAACATAAAAATTAAATTTATATACTGAAATGTAATTTAATATTAAAATAAAAAAACATTCAAATATTTTTTAAATCACAATTTATCTATTTACAAAATATGTTTAAAAAATATTCATTTTAAAAAAATTATAATTTCTCTTTCCTTCTTTACTGTTTTATCTTTTTTTTCCCTGTAATATGATATGATTTCTCTTTACTTTTCTGTGATTTTGCAGATTGTACAATCAATGCTGTGGACAAAATTGCTCTTGTGTAGAAGAGACATGTGAGCATGCGTATGATTAGTTACTGTACTATAGGCAAATTATTTGTTGCATAATTTTTTTTTTTGTTAACAAGTGAACAATAGTCTTAAGAAAAAAAAATTAAAATATTAGTTACAAATTAAACTATATAAATGAAAAAAAGTATATTTGAATATTTCCATGTATTTTCGCTTCCAGATTTACACATCTCCAATTTAAATATAAAATTAGTATTTTTTTTTAATTTGACCCTTAAATATAGTTTTTCATTTTATATATAATCATTATTAAATCCATTTTTTTTTCAGATTAGATACAATTCTGTTTAAAACACGATTAAAAATTAAGTATTTGTTTGTTAAATTATAGAAGACTACCGTCTTCCACTAAACCTAAACTCCTTGCATTTATGGAATAATAGTATAAAATCAAATTAAAAACATATATCTCTCTTAAGAGGATATCTATAACATTTTATTTATTTAATTCATACATCTCATTTAAGATCCATCAATACACATCACCCGATTTTATATTTCATCTCTTTTTTTTTCTTAAGCTCAATATTTTATATTTTTTACTAAATAATTTTCATAAATAAACTTACGTTTCATCACCATTAATAAATTATTATCGATTTTTTAAATTAATTTTTCAATTCATAAAAAGTACACTGTAAAACCCACACTAAAAATTCAACACCCTTAGTTGTACAAGATCACAAGCATATTCTAATTAAGATACCACTCCAATGTTCATTTTATTTGGTACCTGTTCTTATTAAATGTACTCCACAAACACCTTATTGGAATTGCTCTATGAATTTAAAATATAATAAAAATTGAATAGCTACAAAATCCAAATAGAAAATGTCCTGTTTATTCATGGTAAAGTAGATTATTATATGAAATTGAAGAATAAACAATACATACGCTAATAATGTAAATAATGTATACACTGTTATTTAATTATAATTACAATATTTGATAAACTTATTAACTTTTATAACAATTATATTAAAAATAGTATCAATAATATTTTTAATTAGTTATCAGTGTAAAAACGTTTACATTAACAATGATTATTTAATTCAAAATTAAAATAAAAACAATTATAAAATACTTTTTTGCTTAAATAACACTCAGTCAATGTAAAATAAACTAACAAGCTTTAAAAACTAATAAAAATTACGACAATGACTACCATAAAGCTGAAGCTGAATAAAAGAATAAAAGTTTAATAAAAGACTATATTTTTTAGAATGTCTGATAATTTTTTTTTCTCTTGTTTAATTAAATAAAAAGTTTAAGGGAAATAAAATAAACATATTCGAACAATGACAAATATCAAAGAATAAAGCATGACCAGTAATATTTTAGTAGAAAATATATTTACAGTAATGATTTTATAAAAGGGTTTAATCCTAAATTCACACTTTTGTTGTCGTGCTTAAAACTTATTTATATATATATATATATATATTAATACGTAGTACAATATAAAATAATATAAAAATATAGTAAAAGTATAAAAACATAAATGATTGATAGATAATGTTCTGTTTATATTTTTATTATTTTAGAATTAAAATATTTTCACTAAAATATATTATACATAATTAATTTTTTATTACTTATCTTTTATTCATATATGTTTTGAAAATATATTCTAAAAGTTCAAAAATATTATTATGTTTATCATTCATATTTCTTTCTTATACGCTTTTGAAAGGTTTATAATTTTAACAAAAAAGTCATTCGGTAACAAATAATATATTTTTCTTAATGCACTCAATTTTTAAACTTTTGGCAAAGTATTATTAGTTTTGATCTAGGAATTTATAATTTATATTTATATTTATATTTATTATTCATATTTCCCTCTTATATGCTCTTGGTGGATTTATTTGTCCATGGTCCCATTCTTTTTAGTCTTATTTCCTTTTGTTATACACTCAGTGATTGTACTTGTGGTGTGGTGTGTTTTGGAACAATGGCTGAGTTGAATGCATTTCCTATTACTGCTCCTTCCGAATATACAACAGGTTCCATATTTTGTGAATTTGTTTCTTTTCCCAATTCCAAATTTGTTACTTGACATGCAGTTTATTGAAGCAACAGCAGGGTGTGGGATGCCTGAAAAATTGAACAAGGTGGTGCTGGCTTACAGTGGTGGCTTAGACACATCCGTCATTGTTCCATGGCACAGGTATAATTGTTTTTTTTTTTTTCTTTTTCCTTTTTCTTCTATAACAATTACTGATTTCTGTTTAGAGAAGAATGATTAAAATCTCATTACAATGTGTAATTAGAGATCAGAGACCATTTTGAGAATGTGGAGATGATCTGATGGGTTTTTAGCTAAAAATGTTGTGGTTTTGTGGTAAAAAGCATGGGACACAAGCATTTTATAACGTACTCAAGGTTTCCAATTTTATCGTAAGATTTCAAATCACATTTGTATTTCCAAGAATCTTCCCTCCTTCTCTTCCACACCTCTTGCTCAGGGAAATATTTGTTAACCGTGAATACGTACTAATCAACTTACTTGTACCTCCATTTAATTCAGTAAATTCGTTTGCCTGAAATCTTTGTTACCAAGACTTTCGGTGAAGATTCACGATCTCATATCTCTCACATACTCTAAATCATACTTAATTATGTTGGTTATCATACAAACTATTATGAATATTTTCATAAGAGCTCAACAATGAATACGAATCTAATTATATAGGAGAATATCACACATTCTTCAACTGAAAGTATTAAGAAATTAAATATTAAGAGATTAAATTATAGATGTTTCTAACTTATAACTTACTCGACGTTCCTCGTACTAAGATTCCCACCAGACTCAAATTAGTGATTATTGTTCCCGTCAATTTCCCTGTTATATTGTATTTTTATTATAATGTATTTTTTAATGATTTTGTTGTTGCTGAGAGAATTATGGTTGTGAAGTCGTTTGCTTCACTGCTGATGTTAGACAAGTATGTTGTGACTTGTGAGGTTTTGAATTATTTTCCTGTAATCAAGATTGTTTCTATATAAAATTGTTATTGGAAAGGGTGTTTTATGATTTTATCATGCGCCTGACTTGGGGAATCGCTTTGTCAAACTTCTTGTTTAATTGCTGCATGCATGTCTTGACAAAACTAAATTCCGTAGGGTCTAAAAGAATTGGAAGGTTTAGAAGAGAAAGCCAAAGCCAGTGGGGCCTGTCAATTAGTGGTAAAAGACTTGCGGGAGGAATTTGTTAAAGATTATGTATTTCCTTGCCTACGTGCTGGTGCAGTTTATGAAAGGAAGTATTTGCTTAGGACCTCAATGGCTCGCCCTGTAATTGCCAAAGTATTTCGGCTTGAAGTTTCATATATTTATCTTCCTTGGTGAAGGCATTTACTTCTGGTAACTTTTTGTGAAGTGTTCATTCTTTTCATAGTGAAGAAGAATCATAATGATGGTGGTGGAACGTACTTATCTTTTTTCCTTCTTATATGAACATATATTGATTGATAGGCCATGGTTGATGTTGCCAAAGAAGTTGGAGCTGATGCCGTTTCCCATGGGTGTACAGGGAAATGAAATGATCAGGCATATCTTACAATTTGTTTCACAACCCTGAATCATGTCAATTATTTTATTCTAACACATTTCGACATAAACTTTTAGGTTCGATTTGAGCTCACTTTCTTTGCTCTGAACTCCAAGCTAAATATTGTGGCTTCATGGAGGGAGTGGGATATTACAGGGAGAGAAGATGCTATTGAGTATGCTAAAAAACTGTTCCTGTGACAAAAGAATCCATATATAGCAGGGATAGGAATCTCTGGCACCTTAGCCATGAGGTATGCTGAAAAACTATTTGGAAATGAAATGTCATGTTGCTGTTTTCTGATATATGAAATCTGTGACATTGAAGGGAGATATTTTGGAAGACCCAGCTAATGAGCCCAAGAGGGACATGTACATGATGTCTGTAGACCCTGAGGATGCTACTGATCAAGCAGAGTAAGCTTGTTTCTTGCTATTTCACTTTATATATAGCCTCCAAGTTACTTTTATACTTTACATCTTTGAAAGCACACATTACTTGTGTTACAGACATGTGGAAATTGGGATGGAATCAGGGCTTCCTGTATCAGTCAATGGGAAGAGGCTTTCACCAGCGTCATTACTTGCCGAACTCAATGAGATTGGTGGAAAGCATGGAGTTGGAAGGATTGACATGGTTGAGAATCGGCTTGTACGCATGAAGAGCCGTGTAGTTTATGAAACTCCTGGAGGAACCATCTAGTTTGCTGCTGCACGTGAGTTGGAGTTTTTGACGTGATCGAGAAACAATACAAGTGAAAGATTCATTAGCTCTTAAATATGCAGAGTTAGTGTATGCTGGCAGATGGTTTGATCCACTTCGGGAGTCCATGGATGCCTTTATGCAGAAGATCACAGAGACAACAACTGGTTCTTTGACTTTGAAATTGTACAAAGGTTCTATTACTGTGACCAGTCGTACGAGTCCCTTTAGCCTGTATAGGCAAGACATTTCATCATTTGAGAGTGGGCAGATATATGATCAAGCTGATGCTGCTGGCTTCATCCGGCTTTATGGTCTTCCAATGAGGGTTCGAGCAATGCTTTAGCAGGGCAAGTGTTAATTTAATTTCAATATGTTTCTTGATTTCATTGTCGATTTTCTTTTTCAGAATCTAAGCTTGTGTACTATGGATTGTTAGTATATTCGAACCATAATAAATTCAAAGCCAGATATTGAATAAAGATATTTGTTTTTTCCAACTAGTGGTAGTAGTAGAGAAGATTCCGAAAAAAGATAAATAGATTTTAGTATATAAGGAAAATACAAAGTTCCTATTTATTTAGTCCAGTTCTACAAACTTAAGATTGGATGGACCCCTCTTGCAATTTGGCATAGCAAATTGTAGGAAGTCAGTTAACACTTGAATATTTCTTTCCTTCTGAGCTAAAATTTGCAGATCACTTTTGAGTATTTTAAATAATGACAATCTCCAAATCTTTTTATGATGATTATTAACCGTTAAATTATGTTCCTATCCATTGTGATGTTTGTGCTTGTAACACTTCTTCAAATGCAAACAAATTCAATCCAAGGAGGTACTCTTTCTTGCAGTTCCCTAGCACGGTTTCTGTTTTCCTCGCGATCCCAAGCTTTTAAGTGCTCCCCCAGTGGGTTCAACTTTGGTCTAGTTGGTAATCTTGTGTCAATGATAATCTTCCGGAGTTCAACTGCATTATTAAGTATGTATGTAGCTAATTCAACCTCACATGATGCTCCACAAAACCCAACCAATTCCAACTCCTTGAGACTGTGTTGATATTTCATTATAATTTTGGGCTGTGTTCTTAAATAGGGTTTGGTATGTAGCATCTGCAACGTGAAGAAAAAGGTAGATTCAAATCTATAAGGATGCTAGCTTTTTAGCACTTGCTTGAAGCACAATACAAAGAGTCAAAGTACAGATATTGTTGAGTATTTTAGACAGGCAAAGGATATTCACCTTGAGTGTGAACTTCCACAGTGAAGGTGATTCCCTTAACAACAAAGCACAAGCACCAAGTGTGATGTCATTATCACCACGGGCAATCAACTCCACATGCTTTATATTTTTTAACTTGGGAAGTTCAGTTAGCGAGAAAATCTGAAAAAAAGACACAAAAATGATATCACTCATGTTGAACAAGGAATGCAACCTGAAGAAAGGAATGGTTAATAAAGGTTACCACTTCAGGTACGTTTTGTGTAATATCCAATGTAAGTACTTCCAAATGGGGTAAAAAGCTTTCTCTACTGAACTCCACAAAGGATCCTCCAAATGTTGCTTCCACAAGATTAGGAACACTCTTAAATTCTGTATCCAAATGGGATCCGTAGTATTTGAACGACGTTAAATTCTCAGCAAAAATTTCAAGTTTTAGCAGCTCCCAACATCTCACCAATTCTAGACATTTCAGCTTGAGTGATGGACCTGAAATCTTCGTTGTTGTTGGAACTACTGAGTCAACCAAGCTCATCGTTTCAAGTAATGGACAGCAACGCAGTAAATATTCTAGCATCTCCTCGGTCACAATAATGCATTTCAGACGTAAAACATGCAAGGAATTAAAACTTTCTAGTTTGAACAAGTGTAATGGAAGAACATATTCAAATGTATTCCCAAAATACAGCTCAAGCTTTTGAACCTTCTTTTGAATGGCAAAGTGAACCCACTTATCAGTCTCACAGCCAGGATCCACATGAAACCAAAATTTCAATCCTTGTAGAGTTGAACAATTAAGTGAACTCAACAGTTCATTGATCCAACTTGTATATGTTTTCCTTTCAGCATCATACATGATCTCCATTGCCATCTGCAAATGTCTTTTTCCTGCAACCTTCTTAATGTCTTTTTTCATTTCTTTCATGATAGGTGAACCATCAAATTCCAAGGATCCAGAAAAAAAGGTCCATAGATATCTCCATTTTCTTGAGAGGATGCTGGTCCTAGCAGCATCATTTATTGGCAATTTAGATAAAATTATTACAGGGATTCCATCTGGTAATTGGTTGATAAGATCTCCTTCATAACTTTCCTCACCGTTATCTTGTGTTCTCCTCTGTTTATAATCTGCTACCTGCATCTTCCGACCTAAATTACATAAAAAAACATGGATCACCACGATAAGGAATATGGAAATTGAATAATCAACATTTCAAAAGACTATTCAATAAAAAAATAGAAGGCAAGAATCTTGATGAACTATAGGAACAAATCCTATCTAAAAACGCAAATTTAATATCGTAACAAGGCTTTTGAACATTTATATTTGAAAATTAAAATGAATCTAATCATGGCTACAAATTACTCAAGATGTAATATTGAAGAAACAATAAATGAGAATAGATACCTCATTACGATCTTCTCTTATGATTTATGAAAGAGACAGATATCATTTATGATTGGTTTTTCATGGAAATGTTAGCAAACTGATCTAGTAACTAGCAACCTGTTTCATGTTCATGTTTTATGATCACATAGAAGACCCTTATATTATGTAAAGATCCATAGTATGCTCCGTTGGTGAAGGACCTCAACTAAAGTTTCCATTTTTTAATCTTGGGGGTTAATTGAAGAATATATTTTGCTTTGCTTAAAAAATCACACCTTTCTATTCTTAGCATAGGTAGGAACGGGCTTTGTTGCTTATTGTTAATCACTACTTTCTAGGTGAAAATTCTAATGCCACATCTTTCTCTTGTATATGTTGACATTCTCTAATTTAATTAGAAAACCACATGTCTCCTTTATTACAATAATATATTTGTCGCTCCTAACTTTAGTTTTATTCCCAACTTTTTCATTTATATTTTCTGTTTATTTTTATTATGTATGCTTGGATTGATTTTGTTTTAATTTTTTTTTTGATAAATTTCTAAATTATTTTTAATAATTATATCCTTAAAATTGTTTTGGAACTTTAGTCTTTCTAATATATCTATTTCTTATTCCAGCCCCTATAATATTTTACTTCTTTTGAATTAGTTCATTTAAAAAAATATTTAATAATGGCTAAAGGAAATTATCTACATATTATCAGGACAAAAAAAAAATTTCACAAGGACTAACAATAGCAATAAGGACTAATAAAAATAAAATAAAATATTATAGGAGCTAAAAGTCAAACAGTTTTTTAGGGACAAAAATAAGATACCATTGTATTTCAGAAACAAAAATGTACTTAAGGCTAAAATATATTATTATAAAAAAATTATATGTTAAAGGTTAAAATTATTGAATAATATATAAATATTGAAATTAATAGTATATATTTTTCTGTTAATAATATATTAAAACCAAGTTCATGTTCAAAGAGTTGACATGAGAAAAGTTAGTAATTAAATTTTGAAATTTGCAAGCGACCTCATGGATTTATTCAAAGAATCTTCGTAGGTAATGTTTTGAAACTAACCCTTAGGTAGAAAGAAATAATGTGTGTGGTAATTAACATTAACCAGAGCTAAAAATTATTGGCATTATAGAGTTATATTTGAGTAAAAACAAAAAATTACCGATGCATAGATTTAACCACGTTTTATAATATAAATAATTTTATGATTAATATCATCATTTTATACCTTATTTTTAGAGTTTATACGTTAAAAAAAATCGAATGCTTCAATTATCACGAAATTACTCTAATACTTTCTAAGAATGACACTGATACATTTGTAAGATAAATGTATTGGAAATTTCATCTTCATTGTTACAAAATCCATTGGATTAGTGAAAACTACAATATTGCGAATGGAATTAGTCTCATCTAGTAGATAAGAGGAAACTCACTGCAAAATAAAAATAAAAATATAACCTCTCACATTAATTTTAATATAAACAGTTATTTATCTTATGTTATTAATAAAATAATAATCAAATAATGTTCTATTTATATTTATGTGTTAAAATAATTTACAAAATATAATAAATTAATAAATTTTATCAGATAATTTATAGTTATTTATTCTTTATCATTTTCAAATAATGATTTTCTCAAATATAACTTTTTATATTTTTTATACGATAATTTATAATTTAGTAACAATATAAATTTTTATATAATGATTAAATCATTTAATTTTCATTTTTAAAATATTAGTTCTTATTGTCATAATTGTTTTATTCAAATTTTAATCAATACAATATTTTATATAAAATAGAAGAAATAAATATCAATTTATTATTTATTAAATCTATTTAAAAACAAGCTGGGTGAATATTATTTTTCAAAAATAAAATAAAGTTATATGTCTGTTTAAAAATTAGAAGTTTCATTTAGTATGATTTTTCCAAATCATTATTAAACCACTATTGCTTGGTGGAAAAAAATACTATCGATAAAAATGTTTTTACTATTAAAAAATTATTTAAAGTAAAATTGTATAATTAACTTTACGGACTAATAATGCACAATTATTAAATAATAACAAATTTTTGACTGAAACTATTATAATAAATTAAATTCTAATTACAATTTATTACTACTTGCAGAATGTCCCATATTATAAACACGGAAATGTTAGGGGAGGCTAGTCTTTCTCTTTGCTCCCATCATCATCATTACATCTACCACGTTCTTACAACGCCTCATCTTTAATTCTCTGTTCTATTAAAAAAATAACAACAAAAGACAATGTCATATTTCGCACTTTTTACACGTGACAATTCAATATTACCAAAAAAATAAAAATAAAAAGTCACAATTTTATAAATGTTCTTCCATCCCTCTCTCTTTTTTATTTTTTCAAACTTCTATTTTGCATTAGTATAATTACAAAATGTACTCGATCCAATTAAGATATGAAAATATAAAATTATACATTGAAGATGCACAATTTGAGAATTAAAAACAAACAATTGTGATAGTAGAATAAAAAAAATGAATCTTTGTACATAATAATAAGTGCAGAAGTTAAAGCTAGAAAATAACCTTTCATAAAAAATAAACTGAAATGGCTACAAACTTTTAAGATTCCGTAACTTAAATGGGAATGGGAGCAGAGAATTGGAAAGGATAAGATTTAACAAACGCAGTGTAGCCACCGTGTGACTTGGTTGGCACCGAGCCACCGCGCAAGCATCGCGCCCATTCTTTGCCTCACCAAACCGATTGCTAATTTTCTATTACAAATCTCTCCTTCATCAAATTATAATTGAAAATATACAAGTGTATAAATCGATATATAAATTTAATTAAACTTAAATATATTTTTAATATATTATCAAATTTCATTTAAAAAAAGGTTGAATTTATTATATTATTCACCATTAAATATATAAACAAACAAGAGAAATTGTTTATCTTATAAATGGATTTTCTAAAATTGAATAATAAAAAGTAATAATTCTTCTTCCTTTGACCTAACCATTAATAGTTCGAGGGTGTTTGAACTTTGAAGTCTACCTTATCCGTTATTGGCTCCGCGTTAATTTGCAACTACATATGTGGTGACGTTAGTGTTGTCTTCTTCTTCTTCTTCTTCCGGCACTTTCCGCAACTTGAATGCGAAGTTAGTGAACGCGCCATTTACACAAACAAAAACTTATATAAATACCCCAGCCGCACAACAAACATTTAACGACGAAAATATTTAACAACGTTGTTTGTGGTACGTGAAAATGACGAGAGGTGCGGAATACGAGCGTGTGCTAAGGTACTTGGACGAGGACGGTGATGGGAAGATTTCAGCGAGTGAGTTGAGGAAGGGAATAGGGATGGTGGGTGGGGAGTTTCTGATGAGAGAGGCTGAGATGGCGGTTGAGACGTTGGATTCGGACGGTGATGGGTTTCTGTGTTTGGAGGATTTGGTGAGGATGATGGAGGGAGTGGGAGAGGAAGAGAAGGTGAAGGATTTGAGGGAAGCTTTTGATTTGTACGACACCGAAGGGTGTGGGTTCATCACCCCCAAAGCCTTGAAGAGGATGCTCAAAAAGTTGGGTGAATCCAAGTCCATGGATGAGTGCAAAACGATGATTGGTCGATTTGATTTGAACGGAGATGGCATGCTTAGCTTTGAAGAGTTCAGAATTATGATGAAGTAATGATGGTGTTGGTGATTTGTGTGCATTCATTCTTCCTCTGGCTATCTTACCATGTATTTAGCTCCTGGGTCTATAGCTTGGTTTGGTGGGTTTCCAATTTCATTGATTTCTTTCTACATTCTGCCTACTTCTGATTAATCCCTTTTATTCTTTTCTTCTTTCATACAAAAATACATTAAATACGTTATTTTTTGTTTTTTATTCTGGTTACTCAACACATAAGTGACACTTGACCATTTACATAACCCACATTAACATTTTTTGTAAGCACAGTGATAGAAATTAAAAGCACAAAAATTTAAAAAGGAAAAGAAAATATAAGAATAAAAACACAAATTAATATAATAACATGAATAAAAATATATTTAATCCTTATTTTTTTACATTGGTAAAGCCATATTAATAGCGTTTAGAAATTTGACTGAGAACGAAACAATTTTATTTTTTATTTTTTTAACTTTGGAAAGAAGGAAAAGAGAATTAAATGTTTTATGAAATAAAGCGTACGTGCTTGACACATGGCTATTTTATCTCAACAACTTCTTAAAGATACGTGGTGAAACAATTTATGATTATTTATATGCAAATAGGGTGATTCTATTTTCTCGCAATTATAAAAAAAATCATACATAAACATTTATTCAATAAAGCTCTATCTAAATCAAAGTACTATTCCTGTTTTATGCACAAACATTTACTGAAAACAAAACTTAAAATCCACATAAACATAAATTTCATCACTAAAGCGATGTGAATGAAAGTACACCGTTAAAGGGTTACACTACTAAAAAAATGTCAAATAGTAATCGAAATCGATGACCAAAAAATTTAGTTACTATCAGTTGACCGAATCAGGAACCAAATTATTATTTTTTAGTCTAGTAATCGAAATAGTAACCGAATTTTCGGTCACATAAAATCGATTATTATTTCAGATCACTTTATTATTTAATTTATTTTTTTAATTAATCTATATTTAATTTATGTAATTATTAATTTTTTTTATATTTAGTAACTGATTTAGTGACTAAAATTTCAGATCACTAAAAAAATAATTTTTACACTCGATAACTATTTTTCATTTATATAAATATTTTATTTAAAATATTTTAAATATAAATTTACTTAATAATTTAAAATAATTGATAACATTTTTAATAACATTATAAATATTTTAAAAAAATTGTTTACTAACTTATTAAATAATTTAGTAATATAATTATTTGATTTTATTTTTTTATTTAGCATGTGAATAAAAAAATTAAAATTGATTATTAAATTAGTCACCGAATCGGTCATCGAATCGGTCACTCGAATTGGTCACTGAATCGGTCACTCGAATCGGTCACTTGAATCGATCGATCTGATCGATTCTGTCACCGAATCGGTCATCGATTCGGTCACTTAATCGGTCACTAAATCAATAATTAAATTAATTATTAATTTAGTCTCTTTATATATATATATATATATATATATATATATATATATATATATATATATATATATATATATATATATATATATAACTTGTATGTTAATAAAAATGTATTTCAATGTATTTATAAAAAATTAAAATTATTTTAATTACTGAATTGATATTTTAAATTTATATTAATATCTTGAATAATTTAATAGTTGGATATATATATATATATATATATATATATATATATATATATCACTTTAATTTTTTTAATTAAAATTAATTTCATAAAAAATTAATATTTGAAAATTAAAATGCAAAATATATATATATATATATATAAATTTATTTATTTTTTAAAGATGATATATTCAATGTATGTTAAAAAAGTTCAAGCCAAACTGCTTTTATAGAAGATTTTCAAAACTCGCTGGTTTAATTAATCTGTTAAAAGATTCTTTTAATCTGTTAAAAGTGCAGCTTTAATCTGTTAAAACTTCTTTTAATCCACTAATACGTTCTTGATTCTTTAACAGATTTGTTTTAACTGATACGACAACGTTTATATCAATTAAAACACTTTACAAAAAATCTTCTAAGTTGATTTAATCGATTGTTTCGCGATTCAATCGATTGAAATACTTGCAAAACTTTCTCCTAAAACTTTTCAAGTTATTTTAACTGATAAAAATAAGTTTTAATCGATTAAAACGTCTGTGTAGAATCTGTTTTAATCGATTGAAACGAGATTTAATCGATTAAAATAGTTATGATCAGTCATAAATGCATTCTGACCGATCATAATTGAAACCATATAATAGCGGTTCAAGGGTTAACCGCTATCTAAGTCATATTTTAAGAGCGGTTCCTGTGTAACCGCTATCTAAACGTCATCTCGCTTGAGCGACAACATTCTCGCTTCAGCGAACGCCCTCGCACAAAATTAGTACTCTCGGGTTGTATTTCGCTTGAGCGAGTCTATCTCGCTCGAGCGATAGTTGATTCTGATCGATTATATATTCGAAATGATCGATCATATTTGATAATTTTTTCAAATAATTAATTATAATCGATTAGTTTTCTAAATTATTGATTAGAATTGATTAGTTTTTCAAATAATAGATTAGAATTGATTAATTTTTGAAATATATATTAAAAAAATATAATTAAAACTATAAATTAGTTAAGAATATTGACTATTGTAAAGATAAAGTAGAAACATGGGAGGAGATGAGGATGATAATATAATGATAGAACTTACAAAAATGTAGAATTGAGAAGTTTGAAACAAATAAAAATAAGAAAATAGATATTTAATTACACTTTTAATAAATTTAAGATAATACTAGTTTTGATTTTTATTTTTAAATATTTATTTTAAATATTTAAAACAGAGAAACTATAATTTTAGTTTCTAGCTACTGAATTTAAAGAATTAAATTTATTATTATTTAATCTTTTAATTTGTAGAATTAAACTCAATATAATTGTTAAAAATACTTTGTAGAGGCATTTGAGAAAGCTTTTGTCAAAATACTTTGTTTTTAATTGTTAAAAACATTTGTAGAGACATTTTGCAAAACATAATTGAGATGATATGATAGCGGTTCCACCTTAACCGCTATCTACAGTATAATTAAGATAGCGGTTAATGGTTAACTGCTATTAGAAGTGCACTTTTAATAGCAGTTCCAGTGGAACCGTTATCTAAAATGTATTTCGCTTGAGCGATAATATTCTCGCTCGAGCGAAACTCCAACCTGCATGAATTCGCATTCTCGGGTTGTATTTCAGCTGAGCGACATACTCTCGCTCGAGCGAAATACGATCCTGATCGATCATAACTTGAAATGACCGATCATAATTGAGAGGATATAATAGCGGTTCCTCATAACCGCTATCTAAAGTGCATATTAGATATCTGAGGTGTATTTCGCTTGAGCGATACTACTCTCGCTCAAGCGAAATCCGATTCTGATCGATTATATTTTCAAAATGACTGATCATATTTGATAATTTTTTCAAATAATTAATTATAATCGATTAGTTTTCTAAATTATTGATTAGATATGATTAGTTTTTCAAATAATAGATTAGAATTGATTAATTTCTGAAATATATACTAAAAAATTATAATTAAAACTATAAATTAGTTAAGAATATTGACTATTGTAAAGATAAAGTAGAACATGGAAGGAGATGAGGATGATAATATAATGATAGAACTTACAAAAATGTAGAATTGAGAAGTTTGAAACAAATAAAATTAAGAAAATAGAGATTTAATTACACTTTTAATAAATTTAAGATAATACTAGTTTTGATTTTTATTTTTAAATATTTATTTTAATTATTTCAAACAGAGAAACTATAATTTTAGTTTCTAGCTACTGAATTTAAAGAATTAAATTTATTATTATTTAATCTTTTAATTTTAGTATTAAAATTTTAAATTATATTTTATTAAATTAAAATAATTACAATATATTTTTCTCCTTTGAGAATGAACAATATAATTAAACTCAAAATTGACAATATTATAATACATTTTTGAACTCTTTTGGATTAATTTCTTTTTCCTAATTTTTTATAAAGTTAATTTTAATATTTAAAAGTATTTAACATTTTAAATTCTGAAAGGTTTTCTCTAATAGAAAATTTAAAAACATAATATAAAAAAATAGTTAATGTAAGTTTTAATTATGATCGGTCATAATCGCATTCTGACCGATCATAATTGAAACCATATAATAGCGGTTTCAGTTTAACCGCTATCTAAGTGAGCTTTTAAGAGCGGTTCCCTTCTAACCGCTATCTAAAATGTATTTCGCTTGAGCGAAAAATTCTAGCTCGAGCGAAACGCCCCTGCACAAAAGTGGCATTCTCGGGTTGTATTTCGCTTGAGCGACTCTAATCTCGCTCGAGCGATGGTGCAACCGCTGTTAGTAAAGATATGTAAAGATATGTAAAAATATAAACATATAAATATATATATAAAAATATGTAAAGATATAAACATATATCTTTAATATTTTGTAAATGTAAATATAATTTATATATATTTTTAAATCTTTTTCTAATATTTATTTTTAAAAATATAATATTATTTTTAAAATTTAATATTTTTTTTTCAAATATATAAATATATAAAGATATAAATGTATAAGGATATAAATAAATATATAAATATATCAATATATAAATATATCAAAATATAAATATATAAATATATAAAAATATAAAAATATAAATATATAAATATATAAATATATAAATATATTAATATATAAATATATCAATATATAAATATATATAAATATATATATATATATATATATATATACAAATATATCAATATATCAATATTATCCCCTCATATATTAATATACATTATTAGCATAATTTTAATTTAATTAAAAATTAGAATACAAATATACTATACTATACTAATATACCATTATATTATTTTCATTGTATATAAATTACAAAATTAATAATTTGTATACTATACTATACTAATATATTATTTGTATACTATACTAATAGTATAATATACTATATTATAATATTATTT